ACAGTATAATGCATGCTATCAAAAAAAAAAAAAAAAAAAAAAAAAAAAAAAAAAGGATAGGAAACAGAGTCCAAATACAGTAAGTATATCTTATTTCCATTCTTATTTCTTAGGATTAAGAAAGATTAAATGGAAAATGTGCTTCAGATATTCAAAGGTATATTAATTATCATAATAGAAGATGTACATTGTGGTGGTTCCTACCTTATATACAGACCCTTGCTGTAATAGACCTCTACACATAAAGGTGGCTTGACCCAACCCCCTCTAATGGGCATGAAAGTACAGTTTGTACAACCAAAATTGTTGTGTAAAAATCCCCTTTTACGTCTATTTTGCATAAAAAGTAAAATAAAAGGCTCCATCACACCCCCCTAGTTTTGTTACTTATAGCCTAATCTTCTACACCAGCACTATTCATAATAGCTTTGTAGAGATTTTTCTTTTATTTATCAACAAAATGCTATGAATGGCTTCATTTGTCAAGGAGATCAATGAAAACCTATTGACTTGGTAAATAGTCCAAACAAGAGACCAACAGCCTATATTAATTACCAGACGTTTACCATATAAAGCAAGCTAGCCAATATACTGATGAGCATCTGCTAGACGGCCAGTTTGAAATCGGTGTATGCAAGGATGCACCTGATTTAATTATGGATTCAGACCTCCCATAACAAAACTAGACCCATCAGTGGCTGGTACTGCCAGTGTAAAGCAGGGTCCAAGACAGTTAGAGGTTGTGCACATATCACTTCAGTCCTGTGGCATATGGCGTTTGCCATGAGGCAGGGATACAATAAAAAATTGTGTTGTGGAGAAGGCTGTTTGGATACCTCACATTTAAAAACATCAAGTGGTGACAGTATTAGCGAGACAGAAAGTGTTTTGGACCGCACATCTGATTTATTATCTATTGTTTCTTATACCTTTTCTATTCTAATATTTGTATATTTTGTATAAATAGCTCTTGCATTGCATTCTATACAAGGTCTTTATCACATACATAATCATATATGAAGTACTTTTTAGGTGATTTTTAGATTATTGTCCATAACTGTTATTATGTGTACTATATTTTTGTTACGGTTTTGGCCCGTCTTAGCTGTTATGCACATCGGTGGAGATAGCGTTTTACTTTTTTGACTAGAGCACGCGCTTATCATAGTTATGTTCTGATCATTAAAAGANTTAAGGTACGGTAATTCTTAATAATTTCCGAGCAAATATTTTCTATACGTAATGATAAGGTAAACAGTGTATATTGTGTAAATTGCTTTCACAATTTAGGGGAGCCATGTTACGGTTTGGCCCGTCTTAGCTGTTATGCACATCGGTGGAGATAGCGTTTTACTTTTTTGACTAGAGCACGCGCTTATCATAGTTATGTTCTGATCATTAAAGGTCACTAATTCCCGCAATGAGGTAAGACTTTATGAATCATTTAGTAATTTAAACAGTTAATAGGAACTTTATAAGTTGTAATTGTAACATAATTTAAGGATAATTTCTTAATTTGATGTATTTTGTTCATTTCAGTTTCTACGTGACAATTTCAATGACAAGCAAATAAAATAGATGTGAAAAAGACTAAAGAAGTTTGCTTATTCGTAACAGCTTACAAAATTTGGTTGGTTGGTTAGGCAAACTTGGGTTGGACTCCCTACAAATTATTGAGCAAATTACAGAATGATTCTCATTATGGACTCCCTGAACCCCAAATCTTAGAATAACCTCTCTCACTGACCTCTTGCATAACATAAGAAGCTGTGTTGATGAGAACGTAGGAACACTTAATGCCATGTCTAACGAGACGACGGAGCATCTCTCGCCCTTCTAACTTTGGACGACCATCAACGACGATAACACGAAACTGTCTTCCTTTGGAGTGTGCGTCACAGAGTATCTTCCGGATCAAAGAGGAGCTGAAAAGAGAAGAAAAGGCTTATCCTACCTGCTTCAAACTTATGTTTCATTATTAGAAAAACACTCTTTAAAACTGACACCATTAGTATAAGCATGGACAAATTCTGTTCAACAAATTAAAAAAAAAATCAAGGCTAAAAAAGCCTTTACCACTCACCAACCAAAGACAAGAAGGACATCCCCATCTTGAATTTTCTGCAGAGCAGTTTGAGAGATGGCTTCTCCAGCTAAAACTATCTTCTCTTGCAAGAAATCTTCAATTACTTCATTCAAATTTCTTTTGGCCTGGGAAAAAAATCCAAATCTTTAATTTCCCTCTCAATTTCCATACCTAAATCACATGTCTGCCATATTCATTACCTCAAAGTTTCATTTTTTATGAGAAATTAAATTGGGTAAGATTTCTACCAAACACTATATAAATCACATCAATATGAAATTACAAACGTTGAATTACACGACTCATTTGCCAAGATGAATATGCCCAAGGTTAAAGAGTCAAAGACAAATATGCCAAACGGTTTTATAGACCTAATAGGAAGCATCAACTTATTTTTAAATAAGATACATACAAAGTCAATTTTTTGTCATAAAAACCAACCAAATGCCAGCATATAGTTTCAAGTAGTATAACTAAGGGAATTACCAAAAGGCATTGTTTAATTTTACCCGAAAGTGATGTTTGAACAGATTTTTCTGCTAGCATTCTATGCTGTATTTCAATGGGGCAGAAAAGTAGGTCACAAAAGTAGGTTAGATTGACAACCAAAAATTTAAAGAAAGGAGCACTCTAAAGCTCTTTTATGGTTAATCGGGTGATTTATTGAGTTTATCCCTTGGCATGTCGAATTTATTAGAGTCGTAGAAGAAACTAGTAGAAGTGGTTTACATGTGTTACTGGGAATCCGCGCTCCACCGATGCTCGGTTGGTATGTACCTTTAAAAGTCATATTTGTCAAAATCAAGTTTTAATGTAACAGGCATAAATATCCAGCCTTACTGAAATTCTTATCTGGACCAGTGAATCCCGATTGGGGCCAGCAGATAAAATGACTTCTTGTGCTCTGAATGGCCAGTAAACTAACAGTTTTTAACCTGGCATTCATCCATACATATAAAACTTTTATATGACCACAATCAGGGTTGTTTGGAAAAACATTATAGGTAGAAATGGCTTGGTGGTCCTAAGACACTGAATGTGGGGGCTGCTTAAACTAGGAAAACTGGTTAGAATAAATTTGTTCTAGAAAAAAAAAATCACCTCTGAGTCTGGCATCTCACTTGGCGTATGGTTGATGTGCCACTTGAGTGCTTTGATAGCATTTCCCATGCTGACTGAAATTGGCCGACACTGGGCCAAGAAACTGAAAGAAAAGAATAACATTTCTTTTTTAATGTTGCACTATTCCATAGATTTATATTCATTGTATTTTTCCTTTTGATAGCTTTAAAGCCCTTCCACTACTACCGTATGTTGCTGTAATGGGCTGGCACTGCATAAGACACTAAAAAGATGAACTGAAAATTTTAATTTTTTCTGTCCACTTGGGAGCTTTGAAAGCATCCCCCAAAGAGACTGAAACAGGCCAACCTGGGCTTGAAATATATTAAATATTAACTTAGAGTTTTTATCATATTAGGAATGTTTACCAAGTGGGACTTTGAAAATAAAGTTACTGAAAATCAAAGAGCCATAATATGTGTCTGATTCAGTCTATTTCAGAAAGTTCAACCCAGGGAGAAATAATCCACGAATAATTATAGAAAATAGTCAAGGTATTTATTGTCTTTCACACATATATAGCAAGTAGACATGTCAGTCTTGTCCTACCTTATGCATGGTTTTATTCTGTTATCTAAATCTCTGGCTAGTTCCTTTTGTGGAGGTGTGGTATAGTCACGAATAACCTGTGTGGAATTAGTAAAACATAATGCATGCATAGAAATCTTTTTTGGATTATTCGTTAACACATTAATGTGCAAAAAGGACGTATCTGAGTTTTCATTTTTGGTATATATATGGGATGAAATGTATTATGAGAAACATAACATGCTTTAGAAATCTAACAAAATATTTTCTTCTTCTGATCTTTATTATTTTCAAAAAAAATCTGACTTCTAGCTTACCAATATGGCAGAGAGACACTAATCTTTTATTCTGCTTTTAAAGTCAGATTTTATTTATATTTCTAGTACTGGTAGGAATCTATTTCATATTAATAAAAAAAAAAAATGAAGAGTGAGCCACTGTTCAAGAGAGACCCAATCCATACCCACCTGTTTGAAGGCATTAAGCAGTGCAATACACCTTGCATTGGACCCACACACCACCCCCTCTGCATACTGTAAGCCCAGCTTTAAAACTGCAGGGTGGATAGCAACATTGTTTGAGAATCTAGAAAAAACAATAATATTACTCTTAAAATTCAAGCTGTTTACAGAATTCATCAATTACATTTACCCAAGCAAGATATATGTAGTATTTCTGGGAAAAAATGTCTTTCAGTAGTCTTGTAAGTAGAATTAGTTTCACGGCAAAGTGAAGATTCTTAAATCCCGACTTATATAAACTATCACCTTAAACTGATAAATATTGTAAATCATCACAAGTTAGCATGATTTCAAGCCTAAATTGGTTCCTCTCTGATCACCCCTCTACGCTGGAGCCAAGCTTATACTCACTGTATAGCCTGAGTCAGAGATGTGCCTCTCTCAAACTGCTGGAGGTGCCTGAACAGACCCACTTTCCTCTCAGTGGCTGCCCTCTGTGGCACCTGTTGTTTTTCTAACTTCTTGGCAACTTTCTTTTGTGTGGCTGCATCGTCAACCTTAAGGTGGTCTGGGACGCGGATCATCTTCTCCTTTGTGCTGCCTTCCTTTTTCTGACCTTAAATAGAATTGAACCATCAAAATGGATATTTTCATTTCATATTTCTTTTGTGCATTTCCTTTTTTGGTACATACACTTTTTACACTACAGTCTGAGTGATACTTCTCATCTTTTGCTGAGGACTTACATTTTTATTCAAAATAGTTAAGTTTTATTGCCCCTGTGCTGAAAATATATAATTTCAAATAATTAAATAAATAAATAAATTAATTAAATTAATTAATTACTTAAATAAATTGTCTCTCTCTATTATATCCAATGCTCACCTGCTCCTCCCTCCTTGGCAGCAGTTTTAGCAGCACGCTGAGCCTCCTGAAATCAAAAAGTTATCACTTAAAATTAAACACATTGCTTCATTCAAACCACCGCTTTGAGTCTATTTACTTACAGTAACTGTAATGCATGAGTGGTACATGGAAATTTAGCAAACTAGATAAAGATTTCAAAGTCCCCTCTCATAATTTTAGTTATAACATCTTGGCTACAGGATAAGTAAAATGCTGGGGGGGGGTCTCTTGAAAGCCTGCAATACTGTATATACTGTATACAACACTGTATATCCACAAGCAGTTTATTTGTACATGTACCAGATACAGAACTCATCTGTATACTGACTGAAGGAAAGATAACATACTTCTGACAAAAAAGATAAAAGACAAGGCTGCCAGATTAAGATAGTTAAGTAAACTTTATAATCATTCCTCTTCCCTCTTCCCTCTTGAGTATAAACATATGGTGTCAGCCATTATATCCATAATGCATTCTTCTTACTATTACACAGCAGGTGAAAGAGAGTCCCTTCTTGAGGGGTGGCACAGGGGTAGGAAGGAAGGAGAGAAAAATAAAGAGGAAGAAAATACCAAAAATAAAAAAACACAGTGACACAATTTACCTGAAGTGCTCTCCTTTCTGCCTTGAGCTGTGCTTTTGACTTCTGAGGAGCATTTGGGTCTGTAGGTTTTTGATGACCATGACCTTTATCTTGAACCTGACCTTTATCCTGACCTTGACCTTTCGATTTCTGGCTTCCTTGAGACCCAGTTGATGATTCACTCAAAGTCCTCGGTGAATTGAGATCAGTTTGTTTTTTGACTTGATCATTTGCTACATTCTTGGGTTTATTTTTCTTTTTACCACTACCAGATTTCCCTTGGTGGCCTTGACCTTGTTGAGTTTGACCTTCAGTTATTCCTGCCTTATCTGCCATTATGAACCTGCAAAAAAAAAAAAAAATAAATAAATAAATAAAAATAAATAAAAAAATATAAAGAAATATAATAAAATTTAAAAAATACTTCATGCATAATTTGGTTTCAGACATCATTAACATACCTCTTGATAACAAAGGCAGCAAAGCTGTCAAATGTACAGACAAAAAGCAGGAAATACCAAATAGGCTACTGTCAATTCTGATGTAAAAGTACATNATAATTTTCATTCAGTTTTTACTTTTATCTTATCATTATTTTGGTACAATTTAAACCTTGTTTATTCTAGGTTAATGCAAAACATTCAAAATAGCTGTTTAGAGTGTTTTTACACATGATTTTTTGTTGTGTTGTTATTATAACAGCCTTTTGCTTTTAGCATTTTTTACTATTCCTTAGAGCCTTGTACAAAATGTATATTATTTAACAATACAATTATTTAGACCAACAAGTGCTGGTCTGTGAGAAAAGTTATATAAAATTAATAAATACACTGAAACAAGTTTCCCTAGTTACAAGACTTTTATACAGTAAAGTGAAATCAGTGATGGCTTCTGTGAGATAATACCATAATACACCACTCTCTCCCTCAGCAGGTAAATTGGCTACCCCCTCCCCACAAATAACTCATTAAAATACTAAGTTACGATGCATCAAACCAACCAATATTTTTCATGCAACAAATATATGCATGAACTTTATAATATAAAATTATTTTTAAAATTTGACGATGGGCACTTTGCCAATGGTTATCGGCACTCATCCTTTGCTGGACTTAAACTGCAATATGTGTGTGATCATTCCCCAGAATTTTAGTTATCTTGGTCGATTTTCATAAAAGTTTTCAATGTTATTTTTTCAATATACTTTAAATTGCATCCGAGCCCTTGGATGCACGCTTACATACGTCGCAAAAAATTGTCAATTTCTCAAACACATGCCTCCTTAGGGATTTTTCTGATTTTTGCTGTGATTGCTCCTCACAGTTAATCAATCACTTGAGGGTTGTTCTGGAAAATGTGATCCGAATAATACAAGCACTTAGGACGCTTTCATCGTATTATCTGGTGACATTATGTCTGAAGTGCAAACACCCTGATCAGCTTAATTGACACTTGGTAGTTTATTACCTCCTAACTGCTCGAGAAAGCGTGTCAATAAATTACGTTGATTCCACTGATTGCTCTTCAGCGAAAATTCCCCCAAGGAGATTTATATCTGAATCCAGTCCTTTAAAAAGTCGAGCGAACATGACGCGTGTGAGTGAGATGGACTTAGTGAGCGAGGGACAGTGTTTGCATGAGTACTGAGACCTACACGATGTCATCATATATGTGTACCTGCATTTGTGTGCGCGTGAAAAAAAAATGAAAGACTCACGTAGCACACCGATCCACCAGGACATGTGATGAAAGAGGTGTACAATTGCAAAGTGTTTTGTGCTTCTCTACAGGCCAAAGTGTTAGAGCAAGATGCACATCTGGGTCCACTCTGAAATTAAACAAAATGATAAAAAATGACCTTGTTTCAAGTTGTTATATAGAGCCAGTTTTGGATGAGACCAGTTTATGTGCTATATTATTAAGTGTTACAGTAAGGAAGTACAGACTTGACATTTAATATGGAATATTTCAGTTTCGAAGGTATGCCTTGGTAAAATGCGTTCTTTTATAAAAAAAAAAAACGACCTCATACAAGATATGTGAATGGAGAAGTGTGTAGTCAGGTGTGTCGCTACCAATTAACTGAATACCAGGTTTGTTGGGCTGCTGCATTACGCAATATGAAGTAATTTAATTGGGTAGTGCTCCTTTGAACAGGTCAAATCTTGGCTTTGACAAAGCATGGTTCTGTCAAAAAAAGTAGCCATATGTCGGCAAGAACTGCATAGAAGAATTTGAAATTTTGCATGTAAGTGGTCGGTTATGCAGTGTGTTAAATGAACTATGCAGTGCTTTACAAATTTGTTAATCTGTGGCAAAATGGGGCTAAATAGACAGACATTGCCAGACAGATAATTGCCCCAAACGAAACGGCCCGCACAGTAGTGTAGAGAAATGCCCAGACTGATGTACCTACACAGAGGCCACACCCAATGTATTGAAATCTTACCACCAGGGTACAGGGCCCAGTGTCTTTCGGGGTATGCTGTTACAGCTAAACAAAAAATCACCCAGTCCGTTCAGAATGAGTGGTAAATTGCCACCAAAACTCATTTTTCAAGGACCTTAGCGAATACCAAACTGGTTTTAGCAGGTTAGAATACCAGACGACCTCTGAGGAACCCACTGTAAACAGCAAAACATCGTTGTATGTTTCTCTAATGAATTGGGGACCTTGACCGTTTCTGGGTTGAACACTGAAACCTCGTGGCTTTCTTTATTGAGGTCAGATTTCACCTGTACCGCTCAACTAGTCAAAACATAGTTTACAGACATCCAGAAGAGGCCATCGACGAAGCGTGTGCCATGTCTAAAGTGACTAAGGTCATAAACAGCGTCAGTATTTGGGGTGGATACCATATTGGTGCCAAAACACCAATGGTAGTCATCGACGAAAATCTGCACCAGATCATATAAAGGAATAATCTGGGAACCACTTGACAATCATTTGAAAGGGGGCAACATGGGAACAATTTTAGGTTGCACGGTGAGATTGCCGGTTCACACAGAGCACTTTTAATAGCAGATTGCTTACAGAACCAAGAGAATAAGCAGCTAACTTGGTCATCAAAATCGCTATATTTGAACCCCATAGACAATATGTGGGTAGGCCATTACTCACCGAATCAATGGCCTACATATTTTACAACAAAACTGGACCAAATTGGAGAGATTTTGACCGATGCCGGTAATGTTATTCCAGATTGAACTCTAAATACCTATCCCAAGGAATGCCTTGCCACTTGAGAGCCCTGGTAGCAGCCAGCAGAGGTCAGGCATAACAGCGACCGTTACTGTGACTAGACACTGACATGAAGGTCCTTGGTGGACCGTGTAACTATTTTACGGACAAAAATATGGAAAATATGGAGATCCAAAATAACTCTTTTAGTGGTGGTCGTATGACATAGAATAGGCAATGTGTTTTTGTTTGCTTCTCTGGCAAATTCCATTAATGAACTGATGTCACAATGGCATCAAAGAGGTAATCAAAAGTTATTAAAACACGATTTTAATCCTTATTTTCATTTATCAGTCAGCAAAATAGGAAGAAAAAAAAACTGATGAAAATTGATTTGGAAAAAATATTTCATATTAAATGTCAAGTCTGTAGTTCCTTAAAGTAAAATTAAGAATGAAGGATTCAAACTCCGTGTTCTCACTGTTGTATTCCAAATGCACCATACAACTAATACAAAAAAATGTACGGTTTTTTCTCTGTCAGTAGCTGGAAGCGTGTACAAAGTATATATATTTAGAAAATTAAAGGGATAATGACTCTTCTTATGAGCTCTATATTTCACAATAAAAACATTGTGAATAACTCATAGAAATATAATATATTCTGTTTTACGACAAAAACAGCAGTTATAGCTATTATTCTGATATCTGAGCTTGTCTTCAGACCATGTGACCTCAATCTTAGTATGGGAAAATTGTTGTTTACTCCAGGAAAATTCATTTTTTGGCCAAAACGAAGAATTAATATCCCTTTAAGCAGCCATGGACACTTGTCACGATCACATTGTCACATTTATCACAACCCAATCCTTTGCAGTGATGAAAACAGGCTACAAGAAGAGGAAATATTGGCTAAGTTTCTAAACTGTATTCACAAAAGAACCTCTACATGTTTTCTGGAATTAACACCAGATATAATATATATTAAAGTAAAAATTGCCACACAAATGTTGTTTTGATTATGTAAACTTAATCGTTTCATTCAAAGAAAGGCGTTCCTTTAATCTACAATTGTAAGATGTTCCACATGTTCGTAGTATTAGTAAGATTGCGTTTCCATGCTAACAAATCGTCTTTGGAATCTTATATATGGGTTCCAATATACCCTATTATATTTTATGGAGTATATCTGAAAAATCTGTAAAATAAACAAACAATACTTACTGCTCCTGTGGGTGACGAGGTTACGGCAGAAGGGTAAAAACCTGCATAGTGGAAAATGTTAGTAAACTCATTATTACATGTTAATATAATTTTTATGTTCGAAAACGGCTTTTGAAAAACGACATGCTGAGGACAATTGCATTGTGCCAGTGTTTGTATTAATTTTTCATAGGGCTCTATTATGGCACTTTTACACATGTAAAAAATCAGCAATTTTCTTGACAAAGGGTGCCCCTAAAGGATGAGCTGATATGGAATTACCCAGTTGAAGATAGACAGAAAGACATAAATTACGAAGGGCTGGGTGACAGATGCTCGTATCTAATAAATATGTCTTGTTGTACATTTGTAATTTCAGTGCATAACTCTTGGTATTTGAGAAAGGAAGCGCTCTCTAGAAATGGAAGGTATAAATACATGAGGCAGGCAGACAGACTGACACCAAGTGTAAACAGAGATACAAATGGCTGCTAGAAAGACTAAAAAAGACCGACATGTACTTACGTGAATGTCCGTGGCAATAGACGCCAGCGTCATCATAATCGTATAAGCCACAGTTATTTGAGGAATGTGACCCTATTCCTCCGTGTGCGCAGTTCGTAATGGCGGTCTCTGATCCCAGACAGCCGACATTGGACAGCCAAAATGACCCATTCCCCTTAGGAGACCAATCTGATTGAAAAAAAAGGAGTTGGTATTTGATTTAAAATATGGCTGTACAGTCTTCCTTTTCCGATTTCCGTAAGAAATAACGTGTTGTAAAAAGTCCAATCGTGACTCTAGCATTTCAATATAATGCTTCAAAACAGCATTTTCAAAACACATGGTGAAATTCAAGACATACGATACAATTTTAATGCATGATTTGGATGTGTCCATATTTCACTGATTGTCAATAGGGTGGGGTAAATAACTTTTTGGGAATCTCTTGAGGAACGGGTGTTTTTAGAGGCAAAATGGGTAAAAAAGTTCATGAGAAACTTGAGCTATGATGAGAATGAGATGAGAAACATGAGCTATGGGCATTCTTTAGATCGGTAATTTCACTGTTTTTTTGGAAATGCATACAAAGCATGTGCACTACTATAGTTACTATATGCAGGTACACTCTAAAGCAAATCGGTTAAAACCATTACCTATAATAACAGCAAGAAGTTACTGATTTTACGGTTAGCCGTCAACCCAAGTATAGGTCAACACTGCTACCGTGACGATCAGTTATTAGTAACCGAGTTTGCACTAATGACAAAAACATCAATATTAGCTTTTATTTACATGTTTAATTACTTATTATTTTAATTGCATTTGTATTTTATATCATTTTTTATCTCGGTGGAGGTTTGTAGTATCGGTAGCCTAACTTTATTTCTGCGTGATGGATGACTTTAAATAGTTGTGCTTATTTGTAGCATGCAGTCAAATAAACACAAATTTAGCAACATGAATCGTATATCGCCTCGTCCCTGTACTTATATTTCGCATTATAAGGCTGGGGTATGGGCTCCTCAACTGACCCCATACCCACAGATTTTAGACCTATCTATCTGGAGAGTCTCACTAGATAAATGTCAGCTTAGCCGGCTAAATGTCTGTCCCGCCTACTAAAAGCTGTAAGGGGGTAATTAACTACCGTGCGCGCTCGGCGAACAGCAATTTAGCGTGAACCCCCAGGGAGTTAGGTCGATCTAGATGGATCGATCTAAATCTATGGGAATGCAGTCATAGAGAGCAATTTGAGAGTAGGCGTTTGTTTCTCTCGTTTTATTATATCAAAATACATTCCTCCTTACCCGTTGCGGCTCTTTCATGATTGGTGTACCCCAACTGACGACAAACAACCGCGGCGTCGTCGGTTCCCCATCCACTGTCACAAACACGCCTCCATACTCCGGCAAACTTGATCTCCACACGGCCGCTGTTGTAGCCGTTACCGTCCACCAGACGAAGTTGACCATCGTCAGCTAGAAAGTTGAGGATAACAAAGGTTATGACAGTCAAGGTCAAGGGTGGTTCTGATTCTGATTCACAAGGAGAAGAGGTGACTCCCACATTAAGCCTAGGTCCCAACTACGTTTAGGACGCACTGTTTTAAGATTCCTTGCGTCCGGCTAGGACGTAGCTAGATAAAAGTTTCTACGTGCTGTTTGCGTCCCCCAAAAGTCGCACGATGAACGTGCACCTCACTCACGAACTCCCACGTTTTCCCCATTTTTTGGCCGTAGACCACACTTAGCAGCCCGTACGTTCGGTTGGACCTTAGGCTTTAGGAACAGATTGTGTGGGAAATATAGGTGGGTGGGATCTGCGGACCTGTGGACGTGTTCGTGAGTGTGGTGAGTATAGACAGTTAACATTTGGAGGGCGGTCGAGGAGGGCAGGTTAGTGTTTTTGGAAACTTTGTATCTGGGACTTCTGGACATATACAGGTATGTGCAGCCTAAGGAGGTTGAACAGTATTCAACTCATTATATCAACTTATTACCCTGAAGCTACACTATTTAGTACATGTAGGGTAATTGGTCTACCTGTATACTATTGTGCTGGAATATTCAGTCATACAAGCTATAATAAGGCAATGGTCCAGAAATCCAATAATGCTGATGATACTGATAGGACTTTGTCTATGTGCCTCACCACCAGCACAAAACCAAATCCGCGTTGAATCTCGCTGAACGAAAGCAGATAAACAGCCTAGAGCCTCGGTCACAACCGGCCGTACAGGCTCTTACGGGCTGTTTGCGTCCAAATTTTGCGCAGAATCTCACCTCCCACGCAAGTCCTTCTTAAGCCTAGGTCCCAACTACGTTTTAGACGTACGGGTTTTAGGTTTTAGGATCGCAGGGAAGGAATCAAGTACAGCCTAGGTCTCAGCCGAACGTACAGGCTGTTACGTCTGCTACGGCCAAAAAAATGGGGAAAACGTGGGAGTTCGTGCGTGAGGAGCACGTCCATCTTGCGACTTTTGGAGGACGAAAACAACACGTAGAAACTTTTCGACATGATCAACAGCCGTTTCGTGCGATCTAGCTACGTCCTAGCCGGACGCAAGGAACCTAAAAACCGTGCGTCCAAAACGTAGTTGGGACCTAGGCTTTACGAAATGTCGAGTTCGCAGACAGCCCGTAAGCACGTAAGGAGGATGTTGGACATGCCCAAAAGATTCCTGTGAAAGGTTGCCTAGGTACCGTTTTCTGTCGTTTCACGTGTGTCTTTGTTTGCAATATGGCGTTTACATCAGATGCATATGATGCAATGTATGAAAGGTTGCAACTGACTTTGACAAAAAGAACGGCGAAAAAGGTGGTGGAGATCCTTTACGACGACCTAAAAGCAGATGTTCTTATGCGTTTCCATGGAGCCCCCAAAAGTTGGAAAGTTAGGACATCCGTGACACTCCTACGAGTTCTGCTCCCCTAGAGTGCAGTTGGTAATAATAATAATAATAATAATAATAATAATAATAATAATAATAATCTTCTTATATGGCGCCTTACGTGCTACAATACTTAAATCTAAAACACTCATGGGAAACCATTTAAAATTAACACTACCAAAAAACATTATTAATATGTATAAAATACCTACCCCTGTAAGAAATATAGACAGATTTAACAATGTGAGTTTTAAGAAGGGATTTAAAACTGTCAAAGTCGTCTGCTTTTCTAATAAAATTAGTGAAGAGATAACTGGCAACCGAACCTTCTCTCCCCCCCCCCCCCCCCCCATAAAAAAAGGTTTTCGGTTAAAAAAATGAAACAAAATCACTGGAATTTTGCGTCCTTGGCCTCACATTTTACATGTAAACTGAAATTGTTTTCGTCTACTCTTTTTTTTTTTATTTCCCAACACATATATCCGTCCATGCCTCCCCCTCCCCATTGGCTCCCTGATCCATATACTCACGCGCTTTACAGAGGACAGAGGCATCCACATTGGATGTTTCTGAGCAGTACGTAGTACTTGGGTACCCTATTGACCCATGAGAACAGGCATCCAACCGACTCTCTGTACCGGCGCAGTTAAATTGGTCTGAAAATCAATATCGCACACTAACATGACTGTTATTTACTTACTTGGGGGGGGGGGGGGGAGCAATTAGCTGCATATGGACAATAAATGGATGGGATAAGTAGTCATCTCTCACCCAAACAAATACATAATCAAATGTTTTTATATTATGAATTATTTATTAAAAGGTGCTTATATTCTAATAATTCTAATAAATAACAAGCATTTAAAAGTTAAAGTAAACAAAGAATGTAAATGGGCTACATGTGAATGACTTTCCGTATGTCTGACTGTTACACAGGCAATGGCAAATAACCCCCCAGAGAGACTGGACACTAAACAGATAGACTGACACACAATACCTAAAAACACCCTCGAAGTCCCCCTCGGTGTCCAACTTGTGAGGGATCCGACTATCCCACTGAAACCAAGCTGTCTGCAGGTTACTACGGCGTCACTCAGCGACCACCCGTTAGTACACACTCTCCCCCAGATTCCTGCGTAGAAGATCTCAACTCGGCCCATATATTGGGAGGGACCGACCAATCTGACATCTCCGTCATTGGCTGTTGGTAAAACAAATAACTAGTGCAGTACAGCATTGCACAAAACGCTTCCTGACATTACAATTTTTTACCCTATGTACAACATTGTACAGATTCATTTTTGTTTACAGTCTATGGTGTAAATTAGTTAAATACGAAACATTGTTTTCAAATACAAAGAAGTTTTCAAACAAATTACCTTGAGGACACATCAGTCATTATCTTTTGCAAAGACCGTTACGAAATACTATATGAAGATTTACATACGTCGTCCACAAAAATATAATAATCATATACATAATCACATTAAATTATTCTAAAATAGAACCCGGAATTCAAAATGCTCAAATTTGTTCTCCAACTTGTCCCTGTTTCACAACCCTGTTTTCAAAATCCTTTTTTTTTTACAAAAGGTCTGAAACCTATTTAACGGCATATTTTGTCACCTTAGTACGCAATTTGAATGAACTGAATAGCGTTTTTCAAAATATCTTAACGGCCACCAACGTATTTTTAGTTAAGTCTTATTCAACACAATAATATGGTCGGCTAATTCCAATCATTTTTGAAAAGCTGTCTATATGAGTTAAGACAGCATGAGATATTTTGATATTTCTTTGTGAAGCGGAATCGGCTTGAGCCCCGAATGAATATCTACTCACGCCCTTTACACAGAACGCCGGCGTCATGTAATGAGGTCTCGTCACAATACTGTGGGTTTATTTCTCCAACGCCGTCATGGTAGCAATCTGACAGGGACGCCTCGGATCCCTGGCAATTCAAATTCTGAATCCAGTATCGCCCTGGTGTTTGAAAAGAATACCATGAATTGCTGTCTTTCACATTGATCTTATCGTGTAAAGCCTAACTATAACATTTTTTCATGCCATGTAGTGATCCAGGTATGTTTTATAAAACAGCAAAATATGATATGAACAAAATCAGAATGTAGATTATAAATACAAATTTAAAGGAAACAAAGAAATATGCACACATATAAAATAAATAAATCGACGAATATAAATTAATTTAAATGTCCCATCATTTTTATTTATTTATTTATTTGTAAATTACTTATTTATTTATTTATTTGTAAAATAAAAATACTAAGACTTTCCAACCATGTTATATTCTACTGAAATCCATCTATGGAACTAATATTATAATGACAACAGTTTGGTAAGAGATTTATCCATTTATCTTGAAAAGCCTACATCGTCTTTTCCAGTGGTTACCTATGAACTGCTGTAAACTGAACGACCAAAGGAAATTTATTGTATGTAAATTATGAAAACTCACCTGACCCCCGCGTTGACATATTTGATATCGGTGTATGGGCTCCGGTAAAACCAAGCTGCTTGCACGCTACGTTGGCACTCGTAAGATCCCACCCGTAGCCACAAACCCTCCCCCATCTTCCACCATATTGTATTTCCAAGCTACCTTCGTACGCATTTGACGTGTTAACTAGACGCAAGTCCCCATCGCCCGCTGAAAGCACGGAAACAAAATTTAAAACAGATTAGACATTGTAAGTTCTCAAATTCTACATGTATGAAGGAAAAACGGACGCTTATACATTACTATACTGTTAACTGATTGCCACCCTAAAAATTCATCACTCATTTTGATGTGTTTTTAAACAACCCATCTGACTAATATGCAAGACCAACATTCAGATCTGTGATGCAATGGTTTTTTTACGAGACTCTGAATACCACTTAAATCTCGCCTTACTAAAGTTTGGAAAGGTGTCCTAGGAGAAGCTGAGAGGTTGAAGACACAGGTGTAGTTGTGACTCAGTGTATTTTGAATTATGGACCACTGGATCGAGTAACTAAGGACGGATTCATGTCTTTATCTTTCTAAGAGACTTGGATTGAGAGAAAAAAATGGATATCTCAATAGGAAGGGGTAAAAATCACTTCAACCAAACGTAAGAAACTTTGGTCTGACTACATCGAAAGAAGCGCTGTCGCGATGTTGAGGCTCGCTGAAGATAAGGTGGAAAATGAAAGCTGTATCACACATGTTGCTGCTTTTATTTACAGGTACATCTCCTTTAAAATGGCACCGTATTTTCAGGTACGTACGTGCTTTGCAGATGACCCCAGCGTCGTCGTAGTCATTGATTCCACATCCAGAGTTGATGTTGCCCCAACCTCCAGACGTGCAGTTGTTCAAAGCGTCTTCCGTGCCAGCGCAGTGCACATCGGACAGCCAAAAATGCCCCTGTTCCTCTCGGATTATGGTTGACATGTCCTGTTGACAGATAAAAAGTATGACTTTAAGCATTACTATTTTAGAACATAAAAATGCTAGACGCTCGTCATAAGGAAAGGAGACAAAATTAGATTCCCTGGTACATGACTGTATTTTTTTAAAAAAAAATTCTGGTGGATTTAGGGAAAAAGGACATGCCCCCCTATTTTTTTTCTAAAATTATTTTCTAACCTACCCATTTAAGCGGAGACAATGTATCTCACAATTTTTCCTAAGCAGAAGATATGGCTCCAAGTGATAAGATAAACTTCCATTTAAATTAATAATAATAATAATAATAATAATAATAATAATAATAATAATAATTTATTTTATTAAATAACAAAAACAGAATTAAAATGAAAAGAAATCTTGATACCAGCGTGGGCGTCTTCGAAGCCTAATTGCCCGCAAACAACTTTGGCGTCGTCAAGTCCCCACCCCTCCTCACACACCCTCCGCCACTCTCCATTATGGTATATCTCTACACGGCCTTGGTATTGTGTGTCTCCATCTTGAAGGCGAACGTCTCCATCGGCTTGTAAAAAAGAAACAAAAAGAAATTAATGAAAAAGAAAAGAAAAACTGCGGTACAGCTGTCTTCCATGTATTAGCCCCTTACTACTTGATTGATGACAAAGAAAACTTATCGGAACCTTGAATGTATGGCACTGGTGATTGGATTCTTTGCTGACTTATCACCTTTACTGTTTTAGTTCAGAAAGCTTTTTTTCAGTCATTATCAATTTCGTTTTTTAGCATAGACCACTGATTTCGATACAGTTTGTCCTTTTTAGCAGTGATTAACCGTATCAAAACGGTAGACGTTATGTACGTGGTGGCCACGTGTAAACATCCCAATTCAAACACTGTTATTATTTCCCCTAAGGCTATAGAACTACACTACTATATATAGGTCCATAACGTTTACTCTTACAATAATTAAGGTCAATTTAAATTTCTTCCCGAATGTGATACGAATTTTGAAAATTCTTCATTCCGGCTCATTCTGCTTGATTTCTGCTGGACTTATGTGAGATCCTGCGCAAAATACCTCCGCTTGTGACCGAGGCTTTATTTTAGAATTAACCTCTGCGTCGACTTGTAATTGAAGCTGGATAAAACCTGTGTCTACTTACTTTGACCTTGAATGCCCCCTGGAATCCATGTAATGACCAATATAATAAGGGAAATTGTGTTCAGTCGCCTCATCTTCACCTCAGCCAGGTAAATCTTACTCCGGTCGACTGCATGCATCTGCGCATGACAATGTTTTTGATTCTGCGTTGTAGCCTCCACGGTAACGATCCATATACTGATAAGCGGGCAATCTTTTGTTGTATTTCTAACAAAAAGCCTGAGTTTTTAAGCCCTACCTTATTTAGCAAACATGTCTGTTTGCTGATATTATTTGAGGAAGGTCGTGTTTTGTTGTCTTTCACGTGAAACGCTTCTGCTATTCATGTCACTTCTTTTATTCCATCACGCATTTTTTCGTTTGCTTTTGTGCTTGCATCTTTTTTATTGATTGAGTTATGCTTGGAAAAGCGTCTGTTGTGTGTGTGTGTGTGTGTGTGTGTGACGATGTGTGTACTAAAGATTAAAAAAGAGAGAATGAATGACGCAAGCCAGCGATTTAAACTTTTCTTATAAAAATATTATTTCATTTAATCCTTCACGGGCCTCAATAATCCCTCACGGGCCTCAACATGTATACTGTAAATTGAGTATTAAACCAATAAAGAAAGAAAAAGACTATGCGAATTCGCAAAGAAATAGAATACGTTGGATCACCAAACACAGTATTTCATGATAAAATAGATTAAAGTTATGAGTATATACCCGGTAAATGTGCTAGTAAACACCGCGCCACGCATGTTAAAAGCACATGGGCCGTGCATTTAAACGCACCACAGAGTGAAAAGTCTTAATGATATTGAAGATAGTGTGATTAAAATTATCTTACTTTATTGACACCACGCTTTATCACGTCTTAAATGCAGTAGCATAATTATAAGAACTAAAAACCACAGATATAATATTAAAGCCGAACGAAGTAAATAAAAAAAAATAAATAAATAAATAAAAGAGATTTAAGTTCTTCATAATATTTTGAAAATGAAACAAATTTAACATTGTTAAGAAAGACGATGCTTTGATCAATCCTGTATTCTCGAAAATTCTATGACTATATACATCTCAGTGTGTTTTTTTTTTGTTTGATTGCACAATGCTCCTCGACACACCCTATAACAATACAGGTCGTTTCACAAACAATACGCTCCAATTTATAATTGTACATGGGAGTAAATAGACTGCAGTCTACACTGTGCTCCTAAATGTCCACACAGACTGTCGCATGGTTGTCACATGACAAGTAACGGGAATCTCGCAAGAAAATCACGAGAATTTTTTTGAAAGTTTAATAAAAGCAACTGCCCCCTTTTGATTGTAGCAAGATTGAAAATGCAGACTGATATTCCACTTTTCCTTATATTTATAACTGATAAAGCTGACTTGTCATAAATAAAGTTGTGGCTAAAATCCCCCACAAACATGTTGTAAAGGCACCGAAATGCAAGCCAGCCGCATAAAAATCAAAGGGCAAAAATTTAAAATTTTCATGTAAGTCATTGATATTGTTTTTGGTGTCTTTTCGGGTTTAATGATATGTTATTATTATTATTATTATTATAAAAATATATCTGATTTTCAGGAAGATAAACACAAACAACTAGTTTGGAGAGGCATCTTTTTCAGATAACGTTTGTTTGATGCTCGAAAGACATTATATGTAACTTGGGATATTATACGTTGTGTTAGTTGCCCTGGGTTTAATCTATATCCGTGTATTAGCATTGGGTTAACTGAGTCGTGAAATGCACTGTCCGTGGTTTTCCTTGATTGTGTTAGTTGCGCTGTGTGCTAGTTGCAACCAGCTTTGTGTGGATAGGTGTCAATTGCAAGAGACTAGAACTGGATATACAGGTAAGATTGTTATACCTATTACAAATTAATTGGAAAGAAATAGCTGTGTTGATCGATAGCGGTGCCAATGATTCTCTCTCTTTCTACCTCTGTGTTTGTAATTCACTTCTTGGCAGCTTTCTATGAACTAACAATTAACAATGAAGATGCTGTTACATTTAATAGGTAAGATAAGATAAGAGTTTATTCAGCCATTAATATATAAATATAAAATTCATATAAAACGGAAATTGGACTGCTATTCGGGTTACAAATTATAAATAAATAAATTATAAATTTCCATTTTTGTTGTTAAAATAAGACACAGCAGATGGGTAAAAACTCTTTAAAAACCTTTTAGATCCCTTAAAAGTTAAAAGCCTGCAGTTGCTCGGTAAAAATTTAAAAAGCCCATGTTAGGTTAAAAGAACATCGGACGCCTCCTTCATTTAATTGAAATTGAGATTTTTCCCACTGTAGTTAATATATGATAAATATATGAAAAAAAATTGCTTATATTCAAAAACACATGCCTGCTCCTGATGACACAAGAAAGCTTTCTTTCCTAACAAAAATAACGACATCAATGTTACATTTGTTTCATTTTTGAAATATTATGATTAAGTTATTAAAATATTCTCTTTTAATATTACATTTATTTCATTCGGCTTTAAAAATATTTGTGATTTTCTACACCTCATTATTTTGCTAATGCATGATCATGAGACGCGATTAAACGTGGTGTTAGACTTGGTTCCCATGCTTAGATCGATCCATCTGATAATTACCCCTTAACAGTTTTACTAGGCGGGACAGACATTTAAGCCGGACAAGTGGACAGCAATTTAGTGAGACTCCCCAGGGAGATATATCGATCCAAGTATCTGTGGGAATGGTCCCTTAATTATGTACCTAATATATTTGTTTTAAATCACAATATGGGTCATTCAGAATAGATTATCCGGGTACTAACTGATCCGCCGAATAAATATGGCAGACCCTACTTCAAAAGCGATGCCGCTAATTGCATGATGGTCGCCCCGCCTCCACACGCGCCGTCACTGCAGGGGCTTGGCAATTTAATCTCGGAGTCCAGATTTACTCCAACGTATGGGGCATGCCTAGGCGGGGAGACCATTGGGCCTCTTTCCTAAAATAATGCCTGCAAACACCCAAGTTTGCTGAATCAAACATGGGTTTAACTTAATATCAGCTTTTTATTGGAAATACAACAAAAGATTGCTAACTTATATCGATCCTGGTGCCCCCTAACAACGCACAAACGAAAACACAAATATACGTGATGGAATAAAGACCAAGAACTTTGTACTGACATGGAAAACAAGCGTTTCAAGTGAAAGACAACAAAACACATCTTTCCTAAATAATGCCAGCCTACTCACATTTATGCTTAAAAAGATATGTGTTTAACTTAATATCAGCTTTTCATTGGAAACACAACAAAAAATTGCCTGCTAATATCGATCGTTACCGTCCCTCACAACGCAGAGACAAAAAACATTGTCATGCGCAGATGTAAACAATCGACCAGAGTGAGATTTACCTGGCTGAGGTGAAGATGTGGCGGTTCAACACAATTTTCCTTATTTTACTTGTAATGTCATGGATTCTCGAGGACATTCAAGGTCAAAGTAAGTAAATATCATTGAGCTTAAATAAGATCAACTGCATCGCAAGGGTTAATTCTTAATTAAGTATGTACAACTATTTGTTTGCAATTTTAATGACAAGGGTTATGGGTCAATAAAATAAAGATATTTTTTTAAATATTAATTTGCAGCTAAAAAGCGGAATGGTACATAATTATACTAAATAGTAATTCTCAGAAAAATAGATTATGCATTAAAACATTTTCTTAAAATCATTTTAGAGGCATTTTCGCGAACTGCGTTACAACTGAATCTTTGGAAGGGCCATTTCGTGGTGTTTTTCTTCGTTTTGGAAGGACATTTGGCACATCAAATGAAAATATTTAAAAATTAAAAAAAGAGTTGAAAGGCCCATTTTAGTCGTTTATACCTTTATATGTAAGTTATATTTAAGCAAAAAATTAGGAATAAAATTCTAATAGTCAAGGAAAATAATTAGTAATAATTAGCAAACATCTTGGAAGGATATGGAATGGGCATGGGATTTTGACTGTTAACTTTAACACCAACACTCTGTTGGTGGAGATATTTTAAAAATCAAGTCAAAATTTGAATATTTGATTATTTCACTTTCTACATACATGTCTCTGTAAAGTTTTTGCGAGATTTTTTTAATTTGAAAATTTTGCATGTATAAAAATCAAGTAGGCATCTGTGAAGGACGCATCTGGGAAGTACGTTTTGTCCATTGCTAAATAAATGTAAAACGAGGCTAATTATAATGTTTTATGATATATTTACCAACATAAGTTTGATAAATAATATCAAAGGTAAGCGTGTTTTTCCATGATCATATATTTCACCGACAAACATATTACTATTTTTGACTATGATATGAGTTATCATCTGCTCTGATCATCTTTAAATAGTTCTGGGACATTTAAGTGAAATTTTACCAAATTCATTAGTTAAATTATAATAAATTGTCCAGATTTATAATAACTTCAAAATAATTCATTCAAATAAAAAGTTTCTCAAATGAAATGCCTCTATATATATAATTATTGTGCACTTTAAGTTTAAGATTATCTTGCAAGGCATAAGGGTTTAGGTTTCATTGGTCACCTGAACTCTTATTGTCAAATCAAAATGTTTCACATGTACTTTTACGGTGCTAGGTGTCATGTTTAATGTTTACATATTTTGATTTAATTTCTCACTGAAGTGGTTTTAAGCAATTTTGTTTTCATATTTTGCTGGCCCATATCATGTTTGAGGAGAACATTGAAGTTATAAGTTTTTAGCTTTTGTAGTTACTGAGAAAACTGAAAAAAAAAATAGGTACCAAAATCATCCGGGAAGGACAAATTGATAATAATCAATCCATTATCTCATAATCAAATATATCTGAATCTAATGCACTTGGCTAAATTTAAACAATAAGTTATATGTAATGTATTTAGCCTTTATCTTTGTACATTTAGTCAAGTGCATTAGATTCAGAAATATTGTTTCAAATAATCACTTTTATGAAAAATACTGTATTTCAAAAATGAAAGTGTCCTTCCCAAGCACTATTTTATAAGTTTCCAGATAAAAGTGTCAATTAAATCATAATTCATTATCACAAACTAAAATTTATTTTGGATGCTGGTGCCTTGTTGTGTCTGGTTTCAAAAAATTATAAGTTTTTTAAGTAGGAGTCTTTTTTGAAAACTTAAGGGCTGGGGACTAAATACCACGGAATGGCCCGGAGGTATTTGATAAAATCCGAACACTCTGAAGCATTGACAATGCCGAGGGGATAACAGTTCTTGAGGTTATTTTTACAACGTGTCGAGTGGTATAGGACCTAAATTGTCATAACTAGACACGATTTACATGTTTTATAAAGTTGAAAGGTTGATTAGCGTCGGTAGGGATTTTCTATCAATAGTAAAAAAAAAGCAGTGTGAAGTTTTTGCTAGTCATCAGTTGTGATTTTTTCGCTCATCGAACTTATGTCCCATGCACTTTTCATCAGGAAATAAAGTCAATATTCTTTATTATATACTATGTGCTTAACTGTCGATTATGCACTAGTATGTTGCAGAGTTATCGATCGGAAAACCACAATAAGGCAACAACACAAAGTAGAAGCTACGTACATGTAAGCAGTAGTGTAGTCATTTAGCCTTTAGGGAAACAATACTAGTGTTCGAACTATGATGTTTACATGTGGCCACCACGTACATAACGGTTACCGTTTTGATACGGTTAATTGCTGAAAAAAAATAATAAAATGTATCAGAATCAGTGGCCTTTGCTGAGAAACGTCACTGAAAATGACTGAAAAAAGTATCTTGAGCTAAAACAGTTAGAGTCTTAAGTCTAAATCCAGAAATGAATCTCATCACCAGTTCCATTCATTCAAGGTTAAAGGCAAAACGACCGTTCGTAAGACATCCATATTTCACAATAAATACAGTGTATATTGTAAATAATTCATTAAAATAAATTAATAATATTGTACCCCCAAAACATCGGTTAACACAATTACTTTGGAATTTGTGCTTGCCATCACAACACGTGACCTCCATAGATGGCTACACTCTTAAAAAAAAAGGGGGGGGGGACTAATTTTGAATTTGGGAATGGATATCCATTTACCATTGTTAAGTGTTAATTTCATTTTTGGCCAAAACGAACAGTTGTTATCTCTTTACGTTTTACTTTCAATTAATAATGTTATAGGTTGCTACCTGGAAGACAACTGTAGACATGGCGCCTTTTTTCTTTTTTCTATAGTTTCTTTTTGTTTCTTCTTTTAAAGCCGACGGAGACGTTCGTCTTCAAGATGGAGACACACACTACCAAGGACGCGTGGAGATCTATCATAATGGAGAGTGGAGGAGGGTGTGTGAGGAGGGGTGGGGAATTAAGGACGCCAAAGTCGTTTGCAGACAACTAGGCTTCGAGGACGCCCACTCTGGTATCAGTTTTTCTTTTACTTTAATTATATTTTCATTTTGTTATAATAATAATAATAATAATAATAATTATTATTATTTGGCTATTAATTTGAAGTTTATTTTATCACTTTGAGAAAGCTGCTGCAGAGAAACAATTGTTAAATATATTTTATCTGTTTCGAAATTTTAGAAAAAAAGAACAACTTCTATTAGGGGTTCTGTATATCTTTTCCCCCTAAATCCTTCAGAAGTTAAAAAAGCACTATCTAAATGTGTCTACTTTTCTTATGGCGATCCAGCAGTTTTATGTTCTAAAATAGTACGCTTTAAGCCATACTTTTATCTGTCAACAGGGCTTGTCGACCATGATCCGAGAGGAACAGGGGCATTTTGGCTGTCCGATGTAAACTGCGCAGGCACGGAGGCGGCCTTGTACAACTGCTCTTCCGGAGGTTGGGACACCATCAGCTCTGTATGTGGCAACAATAACTATGATGACGCTGGGGTCATCTGTAAAGCACGTACGTACCTGAAAATACTGTGGCGTTTTAAAGGAGATGTACCTATAAATAAAATCAGCAACATCTGTGATGCGGCTTTCATTTTCCGCCTGATCTTCAACTCGCGACAGCACTTCTTTCGATGTGATCAGACCAAAGTTTTTGCGTTTGGTTAAAGTGAAGTGTATCCTTTTCTATTCAGATATCAATGTTTTTTTTCTCAAGCCAAGTCTCTTAGAAAGATAAAGACATATGGATCCCTCCTTAGTTACTCGATTCAGTCGCCCATAATTCAAAATACACTGAGTCACAATTACACCTGTGGCTTAAACCCCTCAGCTTCGCCTAGGACACCTTTCCAAACTTCAGTATGGCGAGATTTAAGTGTGAGAAAATACACTGACGAGCGTCAGCGAGAGGTGTTCATGGCATATATCACGAGAGGGTGACAGTGTATTATTTAACATACATACCGTGAAAAAATACAGTCATTTCATCCTAAAACACCCCTAAAACCGAATAAAGTGACCCTATATCACGCTCTAGAGATGTTATACGGAATAAACTCGTCCACGTGCGCTGGTCATCTCCCGCCTAATTCTTACGTAATGTCTGACCAATTTGGTCAATTTTTGTTAAATACTTGTCGTGGACGTTCATTTGCTTGAAAAGTATTTAATCAACCGTCGACACTGACCATGCTCGTCTCAGCTGAGCCACACCTAGCTGGGGCTGCTGCGGAAAAAAGGTCCCAAGGCAAAACCTCTACTTTTTAGTGACAATACTGATAAAAAAAGGAGCGTCGGACAGGAATATAGTCAAACTAATGTTTTACAAGTGCAAAGGAGAAAGAAATTTACTTTTTGGTGATATTTCTGACAACGAGGCAGTTTCGGAATATAGTCAAAATCGACGGATGTTTATTACAAGTTCACGGGAGTAATAATTCTAGTTTTTTATTGTTATTTCTGACGACGAGGCGGTTACGGAATATAGTCAAAATCAAACGGGTGTTTATTTCAAGTCCACAGGAGTAATAATTCTACGTTTTGGTGACATTTTTTACTACGAGGCGGTTTCGGAATATACATGTGCTGGTTTTCAGAGCATTCATGTGCTATATGTAATTACAAGTTCAAAGGGGGAATACATTTGATTTTTACCGATATATCTGATAAAGAGGAAGAATGAACAGCTTAAAAACAAAAGGTAAATAATAACACAACCATCAATAAAAAGTTATTGATTTACAAATAATTTGTATACACGTGTGGCTTAAATGTTAACTAATTCCAGTTTTCAAACCATACCCATATGACATGACTTAGTGTAATAAAATGATAAATAATAATTGTTAAACGTGAAAAGTTTATGCTAATTTTTTAAGAGTGTGAGAGATTTTAAATTTGTCTACTGGTAGGTATATAACGTAAGCAGCGTCACTATTCTCTTGATGCCAAGAAGGTCACATGATCACTGTCTTTGGCTTTCAGCATTTAAGAGACCTCGAATTATTTAACCAAGATGTAGTCGTGAAATTCTAGACTACATCGAGGTTAAATCCGAGTTCTCCGAGAGACGCTACGCAGAAATGTCGAGTGAAGCGAGACATTTTTGGGTAGCGGCTCGAGGTTGCCCTCGGCCACGGCCATATAACATCCTTAGGTATGTATGTGGTATTCAGAGTCTCTTTTAGACCACGGTGGAAGTGAAGAACAAAAGACTCAGACTCGCATAACCCCACGTCTCGCATGAATGCGTTATAACCCGTTCATGGACCGTGGTCTAAATAAGATAGACCCTTCGTCAGCGGGGGTTATGTGACATCCACTCGTGCTACGCACTCGTGTATGCCACATAACCCTCGCTGACTCGGGGTCTATCTATTACATAATTACCATTGCCTCACATATCTATATTTATTTAATCTCGAATATAAGTCAAATGGGTTGTTTTAAAACGCAACTTTCTCTAGTATTCGAAATGAGTGATTAAATGTATAGGGTGGCAATCAGTTAACAGTATACAGTAATGTATAAGCGTAAGCTTTTTCTTTCATAGAAATCAAGAACTTACCATGTCTAACCTGTTTTAAATATTGTTTTGTGCTTTCAGAGGGCGATGGGGAATTGCGTCTTGTTAACACATCAAATGCATACGAAGGTAGCTTGGAAATACAATATGGTGGAAGATGGGGGAGGGTTTGTGGCTACGGGTGGGATCTTACAAGTGCCAACGTAGCGTGCAAGCAGCTTGGTTTTACCGGAGCCCATACANTCTATTTTCATTTAATAATAATATTAATAATAATAATAATAATAATAATAATTATTATTATTATTATTATTTGGCTATTAATTTGAAGTTTATTTTGTCACTTTGAGAAAGCTGCTGCAGAGAAACAATTGTTAAATATATTTTATCTGTTTCGAAATTTTAGAAAAAAAGAACAACTTCTATTAGGGGTTCTGTATATCTTTTCCCCCTAAATCCTTCAGAAGTTAAAAAAGCACTATCTAAATGTGTCTACTTTTCTTATGGCGATCCAGCAGGTTTATGTTCTAAAATAGTACGCTTTAAGCCATACTTCTTTCTGTCAACAGGGCTTGTCGACCATGATCCGAGAGGAACAGGGGCATTTTGGCTGTCCGATGTTAACTGCGCAGGCACGGAGGCGGCCTTGTACAACTGCTCATCCGGAGGTTGGGACACCATCAGCTCTGTATGTGGCAACAATAACTATGACGACGCTGGGGTCATCTGTAAAGCACGTACGTACCTGAAAATACTGTGGCATTTTAAAGGAGATGTACCTATAAATAAAATCAGCAACATCTGTGATGCAGCTTTCATTTTCCGCCTGATCTTCAACTCGCGACAGCACTTCTTTCGATGTGATCAGACCAAAGTTTTTGCGTTTGGTTGAAGTGAAGTGTATCCTTTTCTATTCAGATATCAATGTTTTTTTTCTCAAGCCAAGTCTCTTAGAAAGATCAAGACATATGGATCCCTCCTTAGTTACTCGATTCAGTCGCCCATAATTCAAAATACACTGAGCCACAATTACACCTGTGGCTTAAACCCCTCAGCTTCGCCTAGGACACCTTTCCAAACTTCAGTATGGCGAGATTTAAGTGTGAGATAATACACTGTCACCCGAGCGATATATGCCATAATTAACACCTCGAGCGTCAGCGAGAGGTGTTCATGGCATATATCGCGAGAGGGTGACAGTGTATTATTTGACATACATACCGTGAAAAAATACAGTCATTTCATCCTAAAACACCCCTAAAACCGAATAAAGTGACCCTATATCACGCTCTAGAGATGTTATACGGAATAAACTCGTCCACGTGCGCTGGTCATCTCCCGCCAAATTCTTACGTAATGTCTGACCAATTTGGTCAATTTTTGTTAAATACTTGTCGTGGACGTTCATTTGCTTAAAAGTATTTAATCAACCGTCGACACTGACCATGCGCGTCTCAGCTGAGCCACACCTAGCTGGGACTGCTGCGGAAAAAAGGTCCCAAGGCAAAATCTCTACTTTTTAGTGACAATACTGATAAAAAAGGAGCGTCGGACAGGAATATAGTTAAACTAATGTTTCACAAGTGCAAAGGAGAAAGAAATTTACTTTTTGGTGATATTTCTGACAACGAGGCAGTTTCGGAATATAGTCAAAATCGACGGATGTTTATTACAAGTTCACGGGAGTAATAATTCTAGTTTTTTATTGTTATTTCTGACGACGAGGCGGTTACGGAATATAGTCAAAATCAAACAGGTGTTTATTTCAAGTCCACAGGAGTAATAATTCTACGTTTTGGTGACATTTTTTACTACGAGGCGGTTTCGGAATATACATGTGCTGGTTTTCAGAGCATTCATGTGATATATGTAATTACAAGTTCAAAGGGGGAATACATTTGATTTTTACCGATATATCTGATAAAGAGGAAGAATGAACAGCTTAAAAACAAAAGGTAAATAATAACACAACCATCAATAAAAAGTTATTGATTTACAAATAAATTGTATACACGTGTGGCTTAAATGTTAACTAATTCCAGTTTTCAAACCATACCCATATGACATGACTTAGTGTTATAAAATGATAAATAATAATTGTTAAACGTGAAAAGTTTATGCTAATTTTTTAAGAGTGTGAGAGATTTTAAATTTGTCTACTGGTAGGTATATAACGTAAGCAGCGTCACTATTCTCTTGATGCCAAGAAGGTCACATGATCACTGTCTTTGGCTTTCAGCATTTAAGAGACCTCGAATTATTTAACCAAGATGTAGTCGTGAAATTCTAGACTACATCGAGGTTAAATCCGAGTTCTCCGAGAGACGCTACGCAGAAATGTCGAGTGAAGCGAGACATTTTTGGGTAGCGGCTCGAGGTTGCCCTCGATGTTCACTGAAGCTTGACTAAATGGACAGACTTCGGTGATCATCATATCGCCACGGCCATATAACATCCCTAGGTATGTATGTGGTATTCAGAGTCTCTTTTAGACAACGGTGGAAGTGAAGAACAAAAGACTTAGACGTGGTGTAACTCGCATAACCCCACGTCTCGCATGAATGCGTTATAACCCGTTCATGGACCGTGGTCTAAATAAGATAGACCCTTCGTCAGCGGGGGTTATGTGACATCCACTCGTGCTACGCACTCGTGTATGCCACATAACCCTCGCTGACTCAGGGTCTATCTATTACATAATTACCATTGCCTTACATATCTATATTTATTTAATCTCGAATATAAGTCAAATGGGTTGTTTTAAAACGCAACTTTCTCTAGTATTCGAAATGAGTGATTAAATGTATAGGGTGGCAATCAGTTAACAGTATACAGTAATGTATAAGCGTACGCTTTTTCTTTCATAGAAATCAAGGACTTACCATGTCTAACCTGTTTTAAAGATTGTTTTTGTGCTTTCAGAGGGCGATGGGGAATTGCGACTTGTTAACACATCAAATGCATACGAAGGTAGCTTGGAAATACAATATGGTGGAAGATGGGGGAGGGTTTGTGGCTACGGGTGGGATCTTACAAGTGCCAACGTAGCGTGCAAGCAGCTTGGTTTTACCGGAGCCCATACGCCGATATCAAATATGTCAACGAGGGGAACAGGTGAGTTTTCAAAATTTATATACAATAAATTTCCTTTATAGTTGCTCACTTTACAGCAGTTCTTAAGGAGGCCACAAGAATGGACGATTGAGGCTTTTGAAGATGAATTGGTGAAACTCTTATCAAACTGGTGCCAATATAATATCAGTCTCATTGATCAATTTCAGTAGAATATCACATGGTTGGAAATTCTAATTATTTTTATTTTACAAACAAACAAACAAAAATAAATAAATAAATAAATAAATGAAATAAAAATAAACGGATTTTTTTTTATTAATAGCGTATGGTGATGGATTGCGCTATCTATGATTGATTTATTTTATTCGTGTGCATATTTTCTTTGTTGCCTTTAAATTTCTATTTATACTCTATATTGCGATTTTGTACATATGTTCTTGTTTTATAGTAATACCTGGATCAATACATGTCATGAAAAAAATATAATTCGGTTTTGCACGATAAAAACAATGTGAAAGACAGTGATTGATGGTATTCTTTTCAACCACCAGGGCGATACTGGATTCAGAATTTGAATTGTCAGGGATCCGAGGCGTCCCTGTCAGATTGCTACCATGACGGCGTTGGAGGAATAAGCTCACAGTATTGTGACGAGACCTTATCACATGATGCTGGCGTTCTGTGTAGAGGGCGTGAGTAAATATTCATTCGTCCATCAATGCCCCCACACCCTCCGCTTTACACACACACACACACAAACACACACACAGAAATCAAATATCTTGCTGTCTTAACTCATATAGACAGCTTTCCAAAAATGATTGGAATTAGCCGACCATATCATTGTGTTGGATAAAACTTAACTAAAAAGACTAAAACTCAGCTCATTTAAATAACGTACTAAGGTGACGAAATATGCTATTAAATAGACTTCAGAATTTTGAAAAAAAAAAAAAGATATTGAAAACAGGGTTTTGAGCGAGGGAGAAGTTGGGGAACAAGTTTGATCATTTTGAATTCCTGGTTCTACTTCAGTATTGTCTACTATATATATATATATATATATATATATATATATATATATATATATATATATTTATCTCAATTATTTTAATTGATATCTGTGTGGACGACATATATAAATCTTCATATTGTATTTCGTAACGGTCTTTGCCAAAGATAATGACTTATGTATCCTCAAGGTGATTTGTTTGAAAACTTCTTCGTACTTGAAAACATAACAACGTTTCGTATTTAACTAATTTACATCATAAATTGTAAAAAAAAATGAATGTGTAAAATGTTGTACATACATGTAGGGTAAAAATTGTAATAACTGACAGCGTTTTTTGTAATGCTGTACTGCACTAGTTATTTGTTTTACCAACAGCCAATGACGGAGATGTCAGATTGGTTGGTCCCACCCAATACATGGGTCGAGTTGAGATCTTCTACGCAGGAAACTGGGGGAGAGTGTGTACTAACGGGTGGTCGCTGAGTGACGCCGTAGTGACCTGCAGACAGCTTGGTTTTAGTGGAGCAGTCGGATCCTTCACAAGTTTGACACCGAGGGGAACTTCGAGGGTGCTTCTAGGTATTGTTTGTCAGTCTGTCTGTTTTGTCTACAGTCTCTCTGGGGGTGGGGGGGAGGGGGTATTTGCCATTGCCTGGGTTACAGTCAGACATACGGAAAGTCAACCACATGTTGTTTAATCATCTATTAATTTTTAAAACTTTTACATTTAAATGCCTGATATTTATTAAATTTATTTGAATATAAGCACCTTTTAATAAATTATTTATAAATTGTTTGATTATGCATTTGTGAGAATGAGCGCTGACTACTTACCCCATCCATTTATTGTCCCTATGCAGCTATAATGTAGTATCACGCGCCATAGCGCCTATAAAAATAAGGTAACATATAAGTAAATAACAGTAATGTAACTACTAATGTTNGTTAACACATCAAATGCATACGAAGGTAGCTTGGAAATACAATATGGTGGAAGATGGGGGAGGGTTTGTGGCTACGGGTGGGATCTTACAAGTGCCAACGTAGCGTGCAAGCAGCTTGGTTTTACCGGAGCCCATACACCGATATCAAATATGTCAACGAGGGGAACAGGTGAGTTTTCAAAATTTATATACAATAAATTTCCTTTATAGTTGCTCACTTTACAGCAGTTCTTAAGGAGGCCACAAGAATGGACGATTGAGGCTTTTGAAGATGAATTGGTGAAACTCTTATCAAACTGGTGCCAATATAATATCAGTCTCATTGATCAATTTCAGTAGAATATCACATGGTTGGAAATTCTAATTATTTTTATTTTACAAACAAACAAACAAAAATAAATAAATAAATAAATAAATGAAATAAAAATAAACGGATTTTTTTTATTAATAGCGTATGGTGATGGATTGCGCTATCTATGATTGATTTATTTTATTCGTGTGCATATTTTCTTTGTTGCCTTTAAATTTCTATTTATACTCTATATTGCGATTTTGTACATATGTTCTTGTTTTATAGTAATACCTGGATCAATACATGTCATGAAAAAAATATAATTCGGTTTTGCACGATAAAAACAATGTGAAAGACAGTGATTGATGGTATTCTTTTCAACCACCAGGGCGATACTGGATTCAGAATTTGAATTGTCAGGGATCCGAGGCGTCCCTGTCAGATTGCTACCATGACGGCGTTGGAGGAATAAGCTCACAGTATTGTGACGAGACCTTATCACATGATGCTGGCGTTCTGTGTAGAGGGCGTGAGTAAATATTCATTCGTCCATCAATGCCCCCACACCCTCCGCTTTACACACACACACACACAAACACACACACAGAAATCAAATATCTTGCTGTCTTAACTCATATAGACAGCTTTCCAAAAATGATTGGAATTAGCCGACCATATCATTGTGTTGGATAAAACTTAACTAAAAAGACTAAAACTCAGCTCATTTAAATAACGTACTAAGGTGACGAAATATGCTATTAAATAGACTTCAGAATTTTGAAAAAAAAAAAAAAGATATTGAAAACAGGGTTTTGAGCGAGGGAGAAGTTGGGGAACAAGTTTGATCATTTTGAATTCCTGGTTCTACTTCAGTATTGTCTACTATATATATATATATATATATATATATATATATATATATATATATATGTATTTATCTCAATTATTTTAATTGATATCTGTGTGGACGACATATATAAATCTTCATATTGTATTTCGTAACGGTCTTTGCCAAAGATAATGACTTATGTATCCTCAAGGTGATTTGTTTGAAAACTTCTTCGTACTTGAAAACATAACAACGTTTCGTATTTAACTAATTTACATCATAAATTGTAAAAAAAAATGAATGTGTAAAATGTTGTACATACATGTAGGGTAAAAATTGTAATAACTGACAGCGTTTTTTGTAATGCTGTACTGCACTAGTTATTTGTTTTACCAACAGCCAATGACGGAGATGTCAGATTGGTTGGTCCCACCCAATATATGGGTCGAGTTGAGATCTTCTACGCAGGAAACTGGGGGAGAGTGTGTACTAACGGGTGGTCGCTGAGTGACGCCGTAGTGACCTGCAGACAGCTTGGTTTTAGTGGAGCAGTCGGATCCTTCACAAGTTTGACACCGAGGGGAACTTCGAGGGTGCTTCTAGGTATTGTTTGTCAGTCTGTCTGTTTTGTCTACAGTCTCTCTGGGGGTGGGGGGGAGGGGGTATTTGCCATTGCCTGGGTTACAGTCAGACATACGGAAAGTCAACCACATGTTGTTTAATCATCTATTAATTTTTAAAACTTTTACATTTAAATGCCTGATATTTATTAAATTTATTTGAATATAAGCACCTTTTAATAAATTATTTATAAATTGTTTGATTATGCATTTGTGAGAATGAGCGCTGACTACTTACCCCATCCATTTATTGTCCCTATGCAGCTATAATGTAGTATCACGCGCCATAGCGCCTATAAAAATAAGGTAACATATAAGTAAATAACAGTAATGTAACTACTAATGTTTGTCGTGCGATATTGATTTTCAGACCAATTGAACTGCGCCGGCACAGAGAGTCGGTTGGATGCCTGTTCTCATGGGTCGATAGGGTATCCAAGTACTACGTACTGCTCAGAAACATCCGATGTGGACGCCTCTGTCATATGTAAAGCACGTGAGTATATGGATCAGGGAGCCAATGGGGAGGGTGAGGATGACAAAGATGGATATATAAGTGTAGGGAAATAAAAAAAGAGTAGACAAAAACAATTTCAGTATACATGTAGGTCTAGTGTGAGGCCAAGGCCAAAAAATACTTTTTGTTTCATTTTTCATAAACCAAAAAACTATTTTTCTTTGGGGGGGGGGGGGGGGGGGGGGGGGGGGGTGGGCGGGAAAAGAGGGTAGGAGGTATTTTTTTCTTAGAAGGTAAGGAAGAGGCATCAGACATACACGTATGCTCCTCTTTAGATTCCGCATTACATGTCCAGGGGCCCGTTTCACGAAGTTGCCTTTAGAATTACCAACAGTATTAGTTAGAATAACTAACGACAGAACTATCTCGCTAACGAGAAAACTTCAGCGATTTTCGAGTGGTGTTTAACGAAGCTGTCGTTAACCCATCGCTAAGTTCTGTGTTAAAGTTCGGTCACTAGTTCTCTCGTTACCCACCGTACTTTCGAAAACAGTCTACCGGAAGTGGAACGTGCGTAAAAGTGTGACGAATGTCCTAACTCAATTTTTGGCGGCTGGAAATGCATAATAACCCCTGCTTTGAGGTCGTCGTAAAGGATCTCCACCACCTTATCGCCGCTCTTTTTGTCACAGTCAGGTGCAACCTTTCGTACATTGCATCATCGTTCATGTATTCTAAATAGATTCTGCCCCTGACGTAAACGCCATATTGCATACAAAGACAAACAACAGAAAACTGTACCTAAGCAACCTTTCTATTGCATTCATTTGCCATGCCTACGATGAAAATCTAAAGGTTGCGAGTGGTCTGATCAATCGTTAAATAACCATGGTAACAGCGACACAATAAAAAGCGAGAAAACTAGCGACAGCTTCGTGAAACGGCGTCATAACTAGCGAGAGGCTAACGACTGATCACTAACTAACGCCAAGGACAGAGCCTGTTGTATAAAGTGCAAGTAACTTTTACTCTCTTAAACACTGTGATACCTCGACAACCCCCAAAAGCACGTTACACACCATGGTTGACAGGCCGTTTTGTCTGCCATTTTAAAATCGTTGATTTAATGGCCTAAATGATTAATGTAGAAAGACTAGTGCGCTGGCCAAAATCATTTGATTAGTTTGTTGTTTGTGAAGGACTTTAGCAAAGAGTGTTAGTTCCAATTTGTTTCAATGGTTTAAGGGAACAATAGCTACAAAATACATTGCAGTGGCAAAATGAAGCTCAAAACACAGGCAATTAATTCTGTCATAACTTTCGTTATCCTCGACTTTCTAGCTGATGATGGCCAACTTCGTCTGGTGGACGGTAACGGCTACAACAGCGGTCGTGTCGAGATCAAGTTTGCCGGAGTATGGAGGCGTATCTGTGACAATGGATGGGGACTAAAAAACGCCGAGGTAGTTTGTCGTCAGTTGGGGTACACCAATCATGAAAGAGCCGCAACAGGTAAGGAAGAATATCTTTTAATATAATAAAACGAGAGAAACGAATGCCATCCGCTCGAATTGCTCTCTATAACACCAAATATAAGAGCAGGGACGAGACGAGACACGATTCAGGTTGCTAAATTAGTGTTTATATTGAGATAAAAAATTGATATTGTGTAGAAGTCTAGGAGAGTATACCTTTAACCACAGCTGATAGTGTCCATGTCAGTCTTCAACTACACGTGGCTGTAACGTCAATATGTAGGTTGGTCCAACTGTATCTCGATTGTGCTAAATTCTGGTGCAGTTTGATACCAGCAGGCCGAGGGTCTCAATGCCTATCCCCACAGATAATGGTAATTTAAAAAAATGTTTAGTCTTTTTGAAAGTCACCTAGATTATTTGGTTTCAAACTATACAAAGGTGATATTTGATACCATTTTAGTTTAAGCATTGTGTCTAGATTAAATGTATTAATGTCACCAAGAGTGTGGACAATGTCCGCATTATATCTGCAGCGTCACTAGGCTGTATATTGGTTGTATGCTGCAAATGGGCACAGCTATTTAAAGTCACCCATCACACAAAAATAAAGATAGGCTACCTATACTACAACCCTCTGCCGAAGATAAAATAACAATATAAATTACAAATGGAATTAAAACTTTTAAAGCAATTAAACATGTAAATAACAGTTTATATTGATGTTTTTTGTCATTAGTGCAAACTCGGTTACTTATAACTTATAACGTCACGGTAGCAGTGTTGACCTATGCGTGAGTTGAAGGCTAACCGTAACTTCTTACTGACATTATAGGTAAAGATTATAACCGATTTGTTTTTAGAGAGCACATGCATAAAGTAAATATATGAAGTACACATGCTTTGTATGCATTCCAAAAACAGTGATATTACATATCTAAATAATGCTTATAGCCCATAGCAATTTCTCATTAAAAATCACCTGTTCCTCAAGAGATTTCGAAAAAAGGTATTTACCGCACCATTTGGACAATCTATGACACATGGCCATATCCAAATAATACATTAAAATTTTATTGTATGTCTTGAATTGCACCATGTGTTTTTGGAATGCTGTATTAAGGATATCATTGAAATGCTGGAGTCACAATAACACTGAAGAGATAACTGAACTTTTTACAACACGTTACTTTTTTATGGAAAATGGGGTAAAAAGGAAGACAAATGACTTTAAAGCCATGTTTCAAATTGAATACCAACTCCTTTTTATTCGATCAGATTGGCCTCACAAGGGGAATGGGTCTTATTGGTTGTACAATGTCGACTGTCTAGGATCAGAGACCACCCTCACGAACTGCCAACACGGAGGAATAGGGCCACATTCCTCAGATAACTGTGGCGTATATAGTTATGATGACGCTGGCGTCTATTGCCATGGATATTCACGTAAGTACATGTCCGTCATTTTGTGTCGTTCTTGCAGCCATTTCTATCTCTGTTTACAATTGTGTGCCAGTCTGTCTGCCTGCGTCATGTATTTATACTTTCCATTTCTAGAGAGCACTTCCTTTCTCAAAAACCAAGAGTTATGAGTTAGATAGCGTATTGGTGTAGCACTGGAATTACAAATGCACAACAAGACGCATTGATTAGATACAAGCATCTGCCACCCAGTCCTTCGTATTTTATGCCTCTCTGTCTGTCTTCATCTGGGTCGTTTCATGTTAACTCATCCTGTAGGCACCCTTTGTCAAGAAACTTTCTGGTTTTTACAGGTGTTGTAAGTGCAATAACAGAGCCTTTTGGGAAAACAAAAATAATACAGACACTGGCATATTGTATTTATGCTCACCATGTCGTTTTTCAAAAGCAGTTTTGAAACATAAAAATGATATTTTAACATGTTAATAATTTGTTTATTAACATTTTTCACTACGCAGGTTTTTACCCTCCAGCTGCAACCGCGTCAACAGTAGAAGTAAGTATTGTTTGTTTATTTTATAGATTTTTTCAGATATACACGATTTGCTATAATAGGGTATATTGAAAGCCTTAAAAAGATTCCAAGGCGATTAATTTGTTAGCATGTAAACGCAATCTTACTAATACTACGAACATGTGGAACATTTTACAATTGTAGATTAAAGGAACGCCTTTCTTTGAATGAAACGATATAGTTGAAGTAAGTATATAATCAAAACAACTTTTTTGGTAATTTCTACTTTAATGTATCTTCTATCTGGTTTTAATTCCAAAAAATATGTAGAGGTTCTTTTGTTAATACAGTTGAGAAACTTAGCCAATATTTCTTCTTCTTGCAGCCTGTTTTCATCAGTGCAGAGGATTGGGTTGTGCTAGATTTGACAATTATCCATGGCTGCTTTATTTTCTGTATACATGTAGTCTGCACACGTTTCAAGCTACTGACAGAGAAAAAAATGTATATATTTTGTATTACCGGTAGTTGGGTGGTGTTTTTTTAATTGAACAGGGAGAACATGAAGTTTGAATTCTTCATTCACAATTTTACTACACCCATTATAATAGAACACAGTCACTGGTCTCACCCAACACATTCTCTATATAACAAGGCGTTTAATTATTATTATTATAATTTCAGAGGGGACCCAGATGTGCATCTTGCTCTGAAAGTTTGTCCTGTAGAGAAGCACAAAACATTTTGCAATTGTACACCTCTTACACCCCATGTCCTAGTGGATCTGTGTGCCACGTGAGTCGTTCTCCCCCTTTTTCACGCACACACATATGCAGGTACACATACACGATGACATCGTATAGGTATCTGCACTTATGCTCTCCCTCTCTTGCTCTCTACGTCTCTCTCACTCATACGCGCGCGCGGCGGTATAGCCTCGAATTTGGTGAGGTAAGACTTGAACAGCATTTGTCATGTTCAGTTAGGAGGTATTAATTAAGCTGATCACGGTGATTGCACTTCAGACAGAATGCATTCATTTTATAGGATTGGTTAACTGTGGGGAGCAATCACAGCCAGAATCAGAAAAAAACCGAAAGAGGAATGTATTTGAGAAATTGACAAGTTTTCGCGATGTACGTTAGCGTGCACCCAATGGCTCGGAAGCATTTGAAGTATATTGAAAAAAACATAACTTTTATGAAAAGCGACCAATACATGTTGCAGTTTAAGTCCAACAAATTTCTTGACATTTGATGGACCTTTGAATGATTAAATGCATTATTATTATTATTATCTATTATTATTATTTTTTTTTTTTGGGGGGGGTCACCCTGTATTTATTATCGTTATTATTATTAGTAGAAGTATTAATATTACTTTTNAACTCATCCTGTAGGCACCCTTTGTCAAGAAACTTTCTGGTTTTTACAGGTGTTGTAAGTGCAATAACAGAGCCTTTTGGGAAAACAAAAATAATACAGACACTGGCATATTGTATTTATGCTCACCATGTCGTTTTTCAAAAGCAGTTTTGAAACATAAAAATGATATTTTAACATGTTAATAATTTGTTTATTAACATTTTTCACTACGCAGGTTTTTACCCTCCAGCTGCAACCGCGTCAACAGTAGAAGTAAGTATTGTTTGTTTATTTTATAGATTTTTTCAGATATACACGATTTGCTATAATAGGGTATATTGAAAGCCTTAAAAAGATTCCAAGGCGATTAATTTGTTAGCATGTAAACGCAATCTTACTAATACTACGAACATGTGGAACATTTTACAATTGTAGATTAAAGGAACGCCTTTCTTTGAATGAAACGATATAGTTGAAGTAAGTATATAATCAAAACAACTTTTTTGGTAATTTCTACTTTAATGTATCTTCTATCTGGTTTTAATTCCAAAAAATATGTAGAGGTTCTTTTGTTAATACAGTTGAGAAACTTAGCCAATATTTCTTCTTCTTGCAGCCTGTTTTCATCAGTGCAGAGGATTGGGTTGTGCTAGATTTGACAATTATCCATGGCTGCTTTATTTTCTGTATACATGTAGTCTGCACACGTTTCAAGCTACTGACAGAGAAAAAAATGTATATATTTTGTATTACCGGTAGTTGGGTGGTGTTTTTTTAATTGAACAGGGAGAACATGAAGTTTGAATTCTTCATTCACAATTTTACTACACCCATTATAATAGAACACAGTCACTGGTCTCACCCAACACATTCTCTATATAACAAGGCGTTTAATTATTATTATTATAATTTCAGAGGGGACCCAGATGTGCATCTTGCTCTGAAAGTTTGTCCTGTAGAGAAGCACAAAACATTTTGCAATTGTACACCTCTTACACCCCATGTCCTAGTGGATCTGTGTGCCACGTGAGTCGTTCTCCCCCTTTTTCACGCACACACATATGCAGGTACACATACACGATGACATCGTATAGGTATCTGCACTTATGCTCTCCCTCTCTTGCTCTCTACGTCTCTCTCACTCATACGCGCGCGCGGCGGTATAGCCTCGAATTTGGTGAGGTAAGACTTGAACAGCATTTGTCATGTTCAGTTAGGAGGTATTAATTAAGCTGATCACGGTGATTGCACTTCAGACAGAATGCATTCATTTTATAGGATTGGTTAACTGTGGGGAGCAATCACAGCCAGAATCAGAAAAAAACCGAAAGAGGAATGTATTTGAGAAATTGACAAGTTTTCGCGATGTACGTTAGCGTGCACCCAATGGCTCGGAAGCATTTGAAGTATATTGAAAAAAACATAACTTTTATGAAAAGCGACCAATACATATTGCAGTTTAAGTCCAACAAATTTCTTGACATTTGATGGACCTTTGAATGATTAAATGCATTATTATTATTATTATCTATTATTATTATTTTTTTTTTTTGGGGGGGTCACCCTGTATTTATTATCGTTATTATTATTAGTAGAAGTATTAATATTACTTTTATAAAATGGTTATACACGTTCTTCCTTGCAGACTACAGCTTCGGCGCACAGTTTTCATAGTTACTTCTACAGTTCCTTCGTCACTGCCTTCAAATACAGCCGCGGGTGCATAAGCCGGTCACAATGTACCAGCCAGGAGCTGCAGGGAAATACTTGCACCGGAAGTGGTGACAGTAAAATCTGCAGGCATTGCTGTAGTACCAATTACTGTAATAGTGGAGTCTTGGACACGGCCCAAGCCAGTGTCAACAACAACAACAACAATAGAGGGTGCCGTTCCCAGAGTGCTTGGTTTAACGTCATCTGTGGTCTTTTGTTATTTGTCTTTGCCAATAATTAAAGGCACAGATGATAGAAAAAAAAACATTAGTGCATTTCTTCTTTAATTATGCCTGGCATTAAAGGCACACATTACGTGTTTAAATTCATACGGATTGAATATGATGTTTTGCTATTGAGAACATGCCTTAAAACGAAATTGACATATTTGATTTGTAAATGCAGATTACCCAACTATAACTGCGATTTCTTTGAGTGACCAATTGAATGCCAGAGCCGTAGCCTGAGCAAAATGCCAGGGGGGGGCAGTAAGCAGACACCAGGGGGCGAAGCCCCCGAGGGTTTGTGTGTGGGAGGGGGTGTCCCCCTCCCACGGTGTGGAAACTTTTTGAAAACTGTATGTACATGTATAATACTGCATTCTGGTGCATTTTAACAGTTATTTATTGCTCAATCAGAAGTCAGAAACTGTGGGTTCATTTTGATATAAATACAGTCATTTTTTCAACACAACACGCCAATTGAACTTCATTTCATAGATTGTCCCAGGATCAGGAATAACGTTTCTTCCTTTGTGGACAAGGAAGACAGCCAATCCGCTAAGGCGTTCCTCTGCCATGCTTGTGCGTGTCCACAGTTTCAGACGACGGACGGCTGAAAACGATCTCTCGCATACAACATTGCCCACTGGTGTTGCAAGGAAGATGGTAAAGATCCTACGAAGTGCAGGGAAATAGTCATGGTCACAGGAAATAAGAGCAGCTGCTGCATCCTTTGGCCGCATATCCTTAGGAACATCACTAAATAACAGTTTCCACTTTTCCACTTCAACTTCTAGCTTGTCTTCCTTATGAAGAAATTTTCCATAGTAGGACATGATATCACTAATATGCTGTGGCTGTAGTGACTCCAAATTGTGAGGATCAAGAGCTGCTACCAAACCTGCATGATTTGGTTCAAACCTTCTTTCTAGCTCTGACACCACATGGTCAGTGAAAGCATAGAAGACATTCATTCTGTAATATTCCTTTGCACTCTGCTCCTTGTTTCCACCTGCAACAGCATTGGCATGATGTTTTTGCATTACAGTTGTGCACGGTTTAACCAACTTGATGTCAATGGCCATTGGTGGGTAGAGTAAACAAAGCGACTTCTTGAAGTGGCGAACAATGCCTTATTTGCTTAGCGATCAATCATACCTAGATTTGTGCAATATTAATGTTCAGGATCCCCCTGGCCCCCCCCCCCCCCCCCCCACTCCATATCCGCCACTTATTTCTCTTTTATTATTTAATTAATTTCATTCGGCTTAATAAAATTACTGGTGATTTTGTAGATCTGATAATTATGCTAATGCATATTAGACGCGATTTAGTGTGGTGTTAGTAAAGTAAGATATTTGGATTAAATTACACCATGTGCGAATTCAAAACAGCGGACTTAAAGATCCGAGGATCAAATATGGTAACCCACTAAATATGGTAACCCACTAAATATGGTAACCCACTAAAAAAAAGGCAGCTTAATTCCCGACTAGACATTGTATAGATTCCCTGCGGGGATTAGCAACAAGCATTTAAGTGGCGCGCCCGTATTTGAGCCGCGGATATGTTAGTTTCTGTACTGAATGCGCTCTATCTTCAATCCCATAAAGACATTTTGCTTTGTGGTGCTATTAAATATAGGGCCCATGTGCTATTAACATGCATGTCGCAGTGTATACGAACACCTTTATATGTTCCTTAGTTTAATATGTGTTATCAAAAAATGATGTGCTTGCATACCCAGCGTATTCTATTTCTTTGCCATTTCACTAATTCTATTTACTTATTGATTTAATTCTAGATTTACAGTAGGGCCTATGCATTTTTAGTCCCGTGTGGGATTAAATAGGTAAATATTTACTAAAATAAATATTTTTAATCTCTGGTGTCCTTAAACTTTTCTCACTTTTTTAATCTCTACTTCACACACCTGTCAGGGGGTACATTATAAACGCATTTGCAAACATATCTCAAGCCACTGAAAAGGTGCAATCACAAACTCAAACACAAATATACGTGATGGAACAAAGACCAAGATCTTTGGTATGACATGAAAAACACATGCGTTTCAAGTGAAAGACAACAAAACACATCTTTCCTAAATAATACCAGCCTACTCACATTTATGCTCAAAAAGATATGTGTTTAACTTAATCTCAGCTTTTCATTGGAAATACAACAGAACATTGCCTGCTAATATCGGTCGTTATTGCCCCTCACAACGCAGAGACAAACACATTTCATGCGTATATACATGCCATCTACCAGAGTATGATTTACCTGGCTGAGGTGAAGATGTGGCGATTGAACACAGTTTTCCTTATTGTGTTGGTCATTTCATGGATTCCCGTGGACATTCAAGGTCAAAGTAAGTAAATTTCATCAAGCTAAATTAACACTCACAACTTCATCGGAAGGGTTAATTCTGAAATGAGTAAGTACAACTATTTATTTGCAACTTTAACTAGGTATAGAAATTGGGAAACATTGTCACGGTAATTGCTGGCAAGGATTACGCCCCTATATATGCATTTATTTGTAACTAAAAATTGGATGGTGCATATACCTGTATAATTATGCTAAAATTGTAGTTCTGAGGAAAAAAATATCAGACATTAAAACATTTAAAAAAATACATTTTAAAAGATATTGGAAAAGACATCTTCATGAAATGCATTGCAATTGAATCTTTGGATGTACTTGGTAAAATCATAACATTTCTAAAGAGTTGATAATGCCCAGGGTACAAAGAATTTTTGTTGCCATTTTCACAACGCGTCGGGTGGAATGAGATCTACTGCACCACTTTGAGAGATAGGGATACGCAAAGAAAAACAAAAAGAAGAAAAAATGAAAAGGCTGAACAAAATAAAACGATCAAAATAGTAAAATTTTCTTTTTGTAATATATGTCTTGATCCTCTACACTCAGCGTGAGGCGCTTGTTCACTTCTGGTTTCTTTCTTTTTCTCACCTTCTTGATAAGTTTGGATGAGAATAAATAGCGTACAAAGTGAACTATAAATATTTTCTTGTTCATATGTTGTGTACAATTACTGCAGAATATGCAGATAGCTTTTTATATAGCTTTATATATATATAATATATAAAAATATATATTTAGATGCAACTAAGACAATATTTATTTTTACGTGTTGTGTAATGGCCACAGCAATTGCCTTTTGGGGTCGGGCGGTATTTTCTCTCACTGTAGACAATTTTTACCATGAGTGTTAGAGAACAGTAAAAGCTAGCTTGTTAAAAATCTTTTGTCTGCCATCAATTGTAAATTTCTGCTTATCTAGCCAATGTACTTTTTTATCAAGAAATAAATAATTCTTTTCATTTTGACATTCTTTATTATACCGTATATGCTTGTCTATCGAATAGGCACTGGTACATTGCAGAGTCATCGATCGTAAAAAAAAAAAAAAAAAAAAAAAAAAAAAACTAGGTCAACAACGCCAAGCAGAAGTTACGTATATTTATATAGTAGTTAAACTATATAGCCTAAGGGAAATAGTAGCAGTGTTTGAATTGGGATGTTTATACATGGCCACCTCGTATATAACGGTATCCGTTTTGATGCTGTTCATTGCTGTTAAAAAGACAAAATGTATTGGAATCAGTGGTCTTTTCTGAGAAACGTTGCCTTATACCAGCACGGAGTTACTTTTGATAGCTTTTGATGGTTATGGTACAAAATGACACTTTTATGATCACGTTATGGTTACGTTACGTTACTGCATTACAAATGAAAATAAAAGCTAAAAAAAGCGTTTTCGTAACGTGCTAATAACAACGTTGAAAATATTCAAGAAACGTTTATATAAAACACAAGAATAACGTAATCTTGTGTAATTTTTTTCATGTTTTATAATGTTCTGAAATAATATTATAATGAGGTGTTGTTAATGTTTTCATAACTAACATAAAACGTTATGGTAACGTTGGAAAAATGTCGGAAACGTATCCCGTTCTAATAAAGTTATTTCTTTTTAAAAAGTTCTAAAACGCTTTAGAATACGGGTTTAACTTTATCTCCGCTTTTTATTGGAAGTAAAAAAAACAATGCCCACTTATATCGAACGTCACCATCCACCACAACACATATGCAAAAAACATTGTCATGCGCAGATGTATACAATCGACCAGAGTAAGATTTACCTGGCTGAGGAGAAGATGTGGCGACTGAACACAATTTTCTTTAAGTTATTGCTCATTTCATGGATTCCCGGGGACATTCAAGGTCAAAGTAAGTACACATCATCAAGCTAAAATAAGACTCTAAATTGCATCGCAAGGGTTAATTCTAAAAAAAAGGACGTGCGATCACTTACAGTCAGTGTGAGGCCGTTGTACTATTTTACTAGCCTTCTTCATAAGATTGGATGAGAATAAAAAGCGAGCAAAGCGAACTATAAATATATTCTTGGTCATTTGTTCAGTTCAATCATTGTAGAAGGCGCATCATATCAACTTATATCTTTAGAAGCAATAAAGGCAATGTTTATTTTAACGTGTTGTGTTACTGCCACAACTATAGTGTCAAATTTTTATTACCCTGTGCATCAATTTCGTACATCTCGCCGCCTGCAATGTGGGGGAGGGGGGCGTGGCCGACAAAGAACTAGTTATTTAATGCAAAACGCACACACAGAACGATTTGATGAAACCACGGTATAATTAGGTGACATTGAGTTACACAGTATAAAAAACGTCTGTGCAAATAATACGCCAAAAGGCACACACAAATCGATTTTCTCATAAAGGCCTTGGTGTAACTCAATGATCCAGTTTTTTAGGCTTAATGCAACAAAAGGTGTTTACTTTTTAACTTTGATTCCCTGCAATCCAGCGAAGTGTCCTACAAAACGTGGTCATGCGAAGATTCAATCACCTGGATGAGTTGAACCATTAAACTGTGGTTATGTTGACAATGCTTTCAACTGACGCCCTCAATCGATATACCTTGCTCGCCTTGTTAGGCCGAAGCATCATAAATCCCAGGCCACTAATGAAACAGGCTTGCGTTGCTGACTGCCCGATTAATATGTACTTGTACAACTGAAGGCAGCCACGCATGCAGACTTTATGTTTTGTCAAATATCATTTTATTGGATACAGTGTTTAAGGTTGGATGAACCCGCGTGACGTAACCACTTTCGCTTTGATACAGTAAAACGATGTGAAAAAGACTGCACATCGATACTTATGACTCATAGTACAAAAACGCATGGTGCTAACATCGCAAATAAAATGTTTGGGCAATATGCCATTTTCATCTCCATGAGGAAATTGCATTCTGGGAAAACGGGTCCTTGTTATTATGTCGAAACACTAGTAACGGCATGAGCAGACATGCCTGCGCTTACATATTTACGTGCTGTGCGTCCCACTGCTACCATAACAATAAGGAACATCGATTCTTGTGACTACAAGTTCCTATTGGGCCATCAGAATGAAAAATGTGGGTAGACAACATCGGAAGAGTCGGGAAGAACCGAAGACCGATTTGCAACAGACAACAAAAAGCGTGCAGAAGAAAACGCTTTGTGGAAATAAAGTAATAAAGATCCAAAGAAGGACAGATGAAGATAAAAAGAAAGAAAACACTTTTACTGGTTATGGGAAAAGAAAACGGATGTTGTTAAGCTTTACACAGGGTTTACAACTTATTGAAAATTTTAGAACTTTCATGACTTCTTGTTTGTAATAAACATGTACTGAAATATGCCATTTTTCAGTCTTTAAAATATTGCAAAGCATGAAATATATGGGAAACGCTTTATTTGAATATTATTGTCTTTGATTGAAAATCACCAAAATTATACCTTAAACATTACAAAATCTTATAAATTGCCATATTTCTAAAAATTTGTTTTGGTCTTACGGATGTTGTTTCATTCTGACAGAATTTTCACACTTGCCAGACCTAATATCTGACATTTCTACCTGCCGTTAAGTCTGTGTGTGTACTAGTGTATGACATGGTAAACAGTGTATTTAGAAATTCATTTTCGTTACACCTGGTATATTTGCTTGAAATTCGACCTGTGTGTTTTTATGCCCTCAATACTAAACTCAAAATGCGTTGAATTGTATTTCTATGAAAATATTTTCTTTGTTCAACAGCAACGCTCGTGAAGGTTAATTCGGGCTATTCAGTACAAAAGACGTCTTTGTAAGTAATATGCCAACACGCACACAGAAATAGATTTGCTAAAATGACCTAGATGAAACGAGATAACCCTTCATGCGTAATCCAACAAAAGACGTTCCCTGCTTAAAACATTTGTTACCATGCAACCCTGCCTTACGTCCTCCAAAAACACTGTAGATGCAATCGTCTTAGGTCAAAATTACCTGGCTAGTTGTGCGGGTTGCGCAGAATTTCCCTTATCTTATTGGTCATTTTATGGTGTCCCTAACACGACCAAGAGCAAAGTGAGTAAAATTCCTCTTAATTTTAATCAACATCAAAAGTGCTTCAAACCTCATTTCTCCTCTAATGAAGCCAATTCACAAAACCCTATTCATACTGGCCTATTCATACACACAAACACATTTGTTCATAAAAGGCTTTTATAAAATTCAATAAGGGCTTTTCATGTGCAATGCAGCAAAAGGTGTTCCCTTTTTTTAAATGTGTTAACATGCTAGACATCTTCTAAACATTGATTCGTGTAGGTGTAATCGCCTTAGCTTGTTCAATATTACCTGGCTGGGGGGAAAATGTGGGGGTCGAACACAGTAATCCTTACATTATTGGTCATTTCATGGTGTCCCGAACACGTCCAAGGACAATGTGAGTAAAATGCATCTTCTAATTTTATTCAACAGCAGAACTGCATCAAATTGCAAAACAATTGAGGTCGTCTATGGCCCCGCACGCGTTTCTGTTAGCGTAAATTTCTGTAATATGCATTAGTTCCCATGAATGCTTGAATGAATTTGTCACATCTAAGTCAGTATGCGGGAGATAAATGTTCTCAGTTTTGATATAGTTTACGGTTGAATCGTAAACGACTACGCAAGTGTAACAGACATGGGAGTCCTACGTTTGGTAGTCCGGGCTCCCATTTGATAAGTACAGGTAAGGGTTAGTCGGAGTATAAGGGACAGTATAAAAGACGAATGTCACCTGTACAAAGTAATGGGGATCGGACTAGCGGACTACCATTCTTGTTACACTGGATTTTCGCTATTAACCCATGTTTAATATATGATATATTTACACTCAAATTAATTAAATTAATTAATTAATTAATTAATACGAATCTGTAAAGAATTGTGCGAACTGATTACGATTCAACCACGAGTCCTGAAATTTGTCAATTCCTGGCAATTCTTGGGATTCGTGGTCTGTGTGAAATAGGGGCATTGCGCTTTGTGTTAGCTGGGCATGACATTGATTAAACGTTTAATTTCAGCGGGGTTTTGTTTATATTTCCAGTCGTTAACGGGACTTTGCGTCTTGTTAACACATCAAATGCGTACGAAGGCCGCTTGGAGATCTATTATTCTGGGAGCTGGGGTAGGATTTGTGACTACGGCTGGGACCTGCCTAGCGCCGTTGTGGCGTGTAAACAGCTTGGTTTCACCGGAGCCCACACAGCAGTTGTAAACACGTCACCGGAGGGGACAGGTGAGTAAACAGAATTAATTTGAAATGCCTTACCTGAAAGATTGAATTATTGATATTTGAATTTGAAGACATTAGGCACTGACAAGAAGATCAAACATTTAACACTTGTAACGGTCAAAGCAATTTTAAAAAATATCGGAGTGACTCGGTACCTCAAGGATCATGGCTGGGTCCGTTCCTATTTGTCCTGATGATAAACGATTTACATTTACCTCCTGGGAAACCTCTGTTTCATAAGTATATGGATGACACAACCGTTTCTGAGATTCGTAGAGTATTTGATGAATGCAAACTACAGGAAATTGCTGTCACAACATGGGGCTAGTCTAGATCAAACAATATGTGATTAAACAGAAAAAAACATCAATATATCAAGAATGCATATATCCCTAATGATATGATTGATAGTGATTGACAAAACAGTTATTGAATTTATAGAATTATTTAAATAACTTGGAGTGTATATATCTAATGACCTCACATGGAAGGTACATGTAGACACAATCACCAAAAAGCAAGTAAAAGGACTTATTTTCTACAGCACCTGAAGCTTGCAGGCCTTACAACTGATGACCTTGTAACGTATCATGTACGAGGCGGTCATAAGGCAAGTTTTAGAATATTCTGTCCCTGTCTGGCACTTATGATGAACAACTGAATTGACTGCCCTAGTACAGGGCAGAAAAGTCTCAAGGGAAAGCTCTTAAGATAATTTATCCTGATTTTGAATATGGCGCTGCTCGTGAACATAGTAAACTTGAACTACTGAGTGAAAGGCGGCTCAATAGATGCATGGAAATTGTTTGTTGGGATATCAAATGAACCGGATCTTACATTGCATTATCTTTAACTACCAAAACAAAATGTAAAATATTAATTAAGGGAACAAAAGACATGCAAAAGACCTAAAATTAAAACCAAACGATCAATGAGTGACTTTTTAACCAGTGCGATATGCAATTTTCAAAATTAACTGATATACTTTTATTTAAGTTTTAACCTTGTATTTTAGTTATGTTGTGTTATATTTGTTCACATATGTCTTTTAATATTCCTTTATTCTTATTCACTGGTGGTTTTATTCAACTACGCTGCAATGATTGTAGTTATGCAACCCTCGGGTTGCAATTTTGGTAATAATAATAATAATAATAATAATAATAATAATAATAATAATAATAATAATAAATATACATTTACTGTATATCAAAAGTGATAAATTACCCAATATAAATGTGTTATTTACCAGAACATGTCACGTATAAAACCTTGTATAGCAAACATTGCACACATTTGACCAAGTCATCATAACTTGTATGCATTTAAAAAAGTTACCAAAGTAAACATTTGTGTCTTTGTTTATTGTTATCGTAATTGTTGTGAGTTCATTGCATTAAGAGATAATGGTCAGCTGTAAGCTGCTTATAGGAAAGCAAGAGAAAGAAAGCAAAGTCAGTCAAAATCAGTCAAAATCCGGCTTATTTTTTTAAAAGAGCGTGGTTGAAGCCAAACATTCACTGATAGTACACCCTAATTATTTTCCCTATAAAAAAAAAAAAAAAAAAAAAAAAAAAAAAAAAAAAAGCAGACGAGAACGATGTTGGATGACAGCCATGTTGCTTGTTTTGGTGTTTTCTGTGAGGGCGTAGACATTATGGCGTTAAGTTATACAGCATAATAAAACATTTTGTAGACTGAAGCCAAAGTCAATAATATTTGTGAATTATCTTTTCAAATAACAGGTTCATTCTGGATACAGAATTTGAATTGCCAGGGAACAGAGACAAGTCTAGAAGATTGCTCCCATGACGGCGTTGGTGTTATCAACTCATCTTATTGTAACCAATCTTCAGATGACGCCGGCGTTCTGTGTAAAGGACGTGAGTAGATATTAAAGGTGCACGATCCAGAATCCTTCCTCTCAGTCTCACTAACAGTCTGAAAGCTGTTGCTGTCTAAAGCCAAATGGCAGGCTGATCGGATCTATTTCGAGGTCAGGGGGTTGAGATCGGGGGGGGGGGGGGTAGGGGTAATGGGTTGATGTTTTAGCTCTATAGCTTTATTGTAATTGAATATAAGCGGGGGATATAATGTATGTTGGGTGGTATTTCATAGCATCTCTGTGAAGTTTGCTGCATCCTTGTATATGAAATAGTTTATAATAATAATAATAATAATAATAATAATACTAATAAGATTCTTATATGGCGCCTTACATTCTATCTCAAGGCGTCTTACAATAATAGGTAATATACTAAAATCATTAAAATGACTACAATATTTTAGTTAGAAAGGAAAGTTCAAATACCCGTGTGAAGGGAATGGATGTTCTAGTAACGCAGGTCCTGGGAATGGAAGTACTAGGTCTAACGTTCAGGAATAGAGGTCATTAGACATACGTTACTTGGGATTTAGGATGTAACCTCCGTGAAAGACCAGAAACCAGGAGTATTAGTCCAACTGGGACCTGTTTAATTAATATCCACTGGAAATATATGTCCTACCTGACTTTGTTTCTCACACCTAGATAAAAATTATGAAAAATATATTATTTTTGAATTGAATTAAAATTCGATTAACGTATTTTTTATATTTTAGATAATCCAAGCTGGATGGATTAGAGAATTTTAAGACATTACTTTAAGCATTAAATTTGAACAGCAGTTTAAGAGTTTTGGCAACGTTTATTCTATTTACAGGGTGGACCTGCATTCTGATCGCACCAACAGTGCTTTGTGCAGTGTTGTTCTAACTTACTGTTTCATTTTATATGTATTTCCTTCAGCCAACGACGGAGAAATCAGATTAATCGGCTATACCCAGTATTTCGGTCGTGTTGAGATATTCTACGCTGGAGAATGGGGGAGAGTGTGTAAAAACGGTTGGTCATTGAATGACGCCAAAGTAGCCTGTAGACAGCTTGGCTTCAGTGGGGCGCTGGCTTACTGGACACTGTGGTCAGCGAGAGGGACTTCGAGGGTGGTTCTAGGTACTGTTCATCCGTATGCGTGTTTGTCTGTATATATGATTGTCTGTATGCATGTGTCTGTGTTTCAATCTGCCTATCTGCCTGTTTGACTGTCTGTGTTACTAGCAGTCCTCCTATCTGGCTGATTGTCTGTTTCAGCTTCTACCGGGTATATACATGTCTGTCTGTGTGCCTGGCGCTATGCCAGGCGGTCTGTCTGCCTATGTCTCTCTCTCTCTCTCTATCTCTGGATATGAGTTTGCTTCTCTGTCATGGTTTTATTTTAATCGCAACGGGTCACATACATAGCGTGACTTTTTAAGGTGTAAATTACAAGTATTAACTTTCAGACCAATTAAACTGTGCCGGTACAGAAAGTCGACTGGATGCCTGCACTCATGGATCGATAGGCTACCCCAGTTCATCGTCCTGCTCGTCAAACTCCTATGTGGACGCCGGGGTCGCCTGTGAAGCGCGTGAGTATTAGAATTGCGATGGCATCCAGCAATTTGCTATAGGCCCTGTCACGCTGTAGTTCTCATACGTTGGGAAGAAGATAATAATTCATTCTAGCTTATATATGTGCGTTTGAGTTCCCTATACAAGCGTACCAGTAGCCTCTGAACATAAGAGTGCGTGTAGCGTGCTTCTGTTTTGTTGATAATTATGGTTTGATGTGGTTGGAGTGTATAGGAAGAGTATATGCAACGCAAAACTGACTAACTAGTAGAGGGCGTGTCTCTGACGATTAATTAACGTATTTATTTTAAACGTTTATTTGCCGCAAATTAATATATATTTCGAGTATGTGTTTACCTAGTGCATGGTTACCGTATGACAAACGGATCCTCTGTGTTTTGTCTTTTGTGGCAAAATATAAGTAGAATTGGCACATTTTCATCACAATCGCCCCACATTTAGAGGATAGATGTAGATACATGTATTTTCGAAAACCAAATGTGCAGTTTCATTTTACATGTCATAATTATCAACAATACAGAAGCACACTGCCCATATATTGCTCATACGCTCATACGCTCATATGCTCATACCTGCAACGAATGCATTGTTCCTATGCTCATATACGGTACTGAAACGCTTATATACGGGACTCAAACCCTCATATACGCAAATCAGCCCTCACATCCTTTACTCATCCGTTGTGCTTGTATACCTTGATATACGCTTCATGTATACCTAACCACTGAGTTACATGTAGTTACATGTACATGTACTGTACAATCACAATTAATAGATCAGTTGCATGCAATAATAAAGATATAAAACGCGGACAAACGATGTTGACTAAAAACGCAATCATTGAGAAAAAATTATGTCCATATGTGTGCATTTTTAAAGCAAAGTCCGTAATTGAATTTGTAGTGATAGTAATCAAGCGACATCGTTCATAAAAAGTCTCTTAAAATGCGACTTTCCTGCAAACGGACACCCGAAAACGCCGCGTGCCGCCACAAGTGGAAACAAAACGCAGGTTCGGGTGGATTATTATGGAGGCAATAATAAAGGGAACTGCAAGGATCCAGAGATTTGCTGAGCAGGCTGGCTATGCTCGCCGGCCACTCTCGCAGAGGACCGCCCTATAATTATGAACAGTTGGGGTTCTAGGTATTACAGCGTGGCCGTAATTGGGGCCTAGTGTCAAGAGACGTTCTGTTTAAGCTGTACATATGCTACGACATGCCTTGACATGTGATCGTACTTTACATGCTACCCATTGGATATTGAAACTCAAGTAATACAATGTAACTACGCTGCCAACAGGCTACACACACTGGACAATAGAAGTGTCACCCCTACTGAACCAATACCTTGGGGGATATAAATGACTGTGGGATGATATGCTCCTGGTATCATTTTATTAACATAAAATTTTACACTTGAAACGGTTCTTACTGAACAATTCAACTGCATCGATATTCTGATATTGCTTATATTCCGCCTCTTCAGGTTAATAACTTTGATTACTCTGATTTAGGGGGTGACACTTCTATTGTCCAGTGTGTGTATGTGTGTATTTCTTATACAACTGTTCTCATACGTTGGGAAGAAAATATATCACGCTTAAAGTAGTGTGTATAATCGATTTTACACACGATATTCATACGTACCTCTATCACAGTTGGTGAGACAGAGATTTAACAGGGAAGTTGCTTCGCTTCGGGAATATACAACTGTAGATATTCACAACTTTATAACAATATTTACAGTACACGGATGGCAAATATCTAATTGCGATTATCATTTGTTATTGTTTTCTTTTTTTTTCGGAGGACCTTCACTTAAAAAAGGGTCCAGGACACGTGTCTATTGTACAACAGGATTACTGCGTACCAGAAAAGAAACATTTGTCTCCTCCATCCCAGTGTATCACAAACTTTTATAGTCCCATTCGTAACAAGAAAGAAGGCAACAAATAATATTGATTCTTCGATCGAGATTTGGCCAAACAAGACCGCTTTTATTATTACCCCCACTGTCCTTATCATCTGAACAACAATAACAATGTAGCAAACTATTGCCTGTATTAAATTTTATGGCCTTGTATAAAATATATACATATGTCAATTTATCCAATAAGGCCCATCGTCTTAAATTTATGAAATGACGAGTCAGGAAAAGTTTTGATTAAAACCTGGAAAGGGAAATGTTTCGTTTCTCTTTTAAAACAATAGTATTTCGATGTCTACATGTGTTTCAATTCAAATAAGATTTTGATAAATCACCTTCTGTGTAAGATATGAATTGCAATCAAGTCTGATACGTTTACATTTCTAGCTGATGATGGCGAACTTCGTCTGATGGACGGTAACGGCTACAATAGCGGTCGTGTGGAGATAAAGTTTGCCGGATATTGGCAGCGTATTTGTGATTGGGGATGGAGAAGCAGCGAGGCCGCAGTTGCCTGCCGACAGTTGGGGTATAGCGGATATGTTAGAGCTGCGACAGGTAGGGCAGCATATCTTTCGTTTTTATAATAAAATATACACTTTAATGGATGTTCGAGCCTAATATAAGTTGAATATCAATACTAGTAAATCTGGGCTTTACATTTGAATTCTATTTGAAATCCGCCCTCCTACTCCACTGGAGAAAGGTGCCTTTGAAAACTTACTTGTCGACTGGTCTGCGCTTCCTAGGCGAATGTTCAACTATCATAACTTGCCCACAATTCTCACAAATAGCACAACTAGCACAATATACAGTGTCGCCCCCCCCCCCCCCCCAGGAGAAAATAATTTCATTCTAATTCCCTTCTTCAACCGAATACAATAATATATACATATTTATCTATCGGTTGCCAGTAAGCCACTATAACTAGTCTAGAAATCACTCAAATACCACTAGCAAGTGCAATGTAAATTGACGGCATTTAGTCGTTTATCAATGGTTACTTACAAGTTTCTAACCGGTCTCATGAAGTCAGCAGCAGGTTGCCATGGGGTTGCATTTTTTTTTTTTTTTTGCTAATAAAGCAAAATCAAATCAAATCGATGGCATTGTACATAATTGCGGGGGGGGGGGGGTGACACTTTTTTCGATAAGGGAGTATAATTCTTCTTATTATCTTATTTCGACAATTCAGATTGGACCATCAAAGGGGACACTTCATTTTGGCTGCAGGGTGTTCAGTGTCAAGGAACAGAAGCTAACATTACAGATTGTTCAAATGTCGTAATAGGGTATTACGATGATTACCACTGTTACTCAAGCAGTAATGATGACGCTGGTGTCTATTGTCAGGGATACTTACGTAAGTATATATGTCTCTAATAAATGTCTAAGGAATGCAGGTCCCCCAGGAGCACTTCCCAATTAGATCAATGCATATTATACAATGCAGCAGTGCATCACACATGGTAGTCAATTGACTGGTAGTCACACACCTGACTACACTTGTCCATTTACATATCTTATATGAGATCGGATTTTTTAAAAAGACCGCATTTTGACCTAGACATACATCTGAAACTGAAATATTCCATCATACGTGCCAAGTCTGTAGTGTTACTGAACGAAGTAAATACTTCGGAATGGGAATTAGAGGCTGAATAAAATGCGTGGTGAAAAAATGCGATATCTCAAAGTGTATATTAAAACTAATCATTGATATTTATAACCCATTTTTTTTCGCCAGCGGGTGTTATCCCCCCCAGTACAACCACCACTACACCGACCACAACAACCACCGTTCCAGTAAGTAGTATTAGAACGAATACAGAACGAGTTGATCTGCAGACTGACATATTCGTGGACTAAATATGGGCGACGGACAAAAAAAAAAAAAAAAAAAACAAAAAAAACGACACCGCTAATCCACTGTTGGTATCCCCGTACCCTCTGTAATCAACCTTCAGATTACATTACACGGTCAGAGACAGAAAAATTAACCGTCTATTTATCTCAAGACATATATGTGAATATTCTGTGAAAAGTCAACCTGTGGCCCTGGTAGAGGGTAGTACCCCCATATCCACAAGAGCATTTAAACCCGAAACTGATATTAATCTTTTAAATGGCGCATGTGGAGGAGGGGAGAGAATCGGCGAATTAAGCGACTTGTTTTTACGCTGGTTCGGCCAGTTAGTCCGGGGACCATCTGTTATGAATGCGGTCTTAATTAACTTTACAGTTTGCGTCTTTTTGACTCAGTTTTATGTGCTTTTCGTAGTCGATATTCCAAGACATTTACTTCGTGAGCCATGTAACAATCGTACTGTATTTACAAACAACGCTTTATTCATATGTACAGAGGGTCTTTCAAGAAAACAGTATCCTTTACATAATAAAAACATTGTTCAATCCAAAATACATGTTATTTTGTGAATACATGTAGCTTCAGAAAGGGATTAAGACTGCTTGCAGTCAGACTCAATCAGTGGAAGGACTTTAATAGACATTATCACCTTCGTATTGACTGGCAAAACACACATTTAATTTTTTTAAGTTTTTTGAAAAAATAAATGTATTTTGTTTTTTTTTAACTTTAAGTGGGTATTTAAATATTTGATATTTTATTTCAGAGAGGACCTAGATGCTATATATGCTCAAGCACGGGCATCTCTTGTTCCAGATCACGGAACGCAAGCTCGCATTCTAATTTCTGTTATTATGGACATGTGTGCTACGTGAGTTTCTCTCTCTCTTTTGGACACACACGCACACACACACGCACACACACTTTGCAAAAACAACATATGTACAGCACGCCTTCATATGTACGCCTACACAAGCACCTATGAATGTTATTGTTTTCTTTGTTAGATAACTGTCATTGTAATATGGACACACCTATCTCTTTGTAGAGTTCGGCCATGGCGTACGAAAGTTACAATCTCTTCTACAGTTCTTCCACCATTTCCTACAGCTACAGCCGCGGGTGCAGACTGCCGTCATCTTGTACCAGCCAGGAGTATCAGGGAAATACCTGCACGGGAACCGGGACCAGAAGAGTCTGCAAGCATTGCTGCACTACTGACTACTGTAACGGCGGTGCCGTGGATACGTCCCAAACAAGCAACAACAACAGAGGTTCCAGTTTAAAGACTGTCTGTTTTAAAGTCCTCTTCGCGCTTTTGTTTATTGCCTTTGCTTGGAATTGAAGGCAGATATCTTAATATTTATAACGCTACCAAATTAAACAATATATGTTGATTTGAATCTATATGATTTATTACTTTTATCTAATGTAAATAACACAATACTTAAGGCAAACACGGTACTAGTTGCTTTGAATATTATTGTTATTGTTATCCTTTGCTTAACAATAACGTGTTTCTATTAGTGGGGATGTACGTTGTAAATAGCCAGATTTATACTGCATAGGACCTCAAGGTCCCAGGCTAGACCCCCCAGCCACTGAATTCTGGGAGAGAAAGAGAGAGAGAGAGAGAGAAAGAGAGAGAGAGAGAGAGGGAAAGAGAGACTAAAAGAGAGAGAGGGACAGTTAACACATGACTCTTTTAACCTTGAATTTGGCTTAATTAGTTTAAAATTAATGTTTGTGGTTTTACATTTCATATTACATATAACATATATATATTGCACAGTGTAAACAAATTGATCCTTATTATGATATCACACAATCTCCAATTTGGTAAATAATTATTTGTTTCTGGTGTGTTACGACGTAGGGCCCACGTTAGGTTCAATTCACAATGTAAACATGTACCTCATATTTTCGTATCATGTTATTCGTCCTCCTGCTTTTGCTGATCCAGTTTATTCTGTATTTCTGATATTCCATTTAAGGTGTTTACCTATAAGTCGCGATTTACTATTTAAATGTTTATTTTAATGCACCTTTGGCATCTTATGAAAATTAAATACATTTACCAGCCCGTTTTTTACAGTGTTTTTAATCTGAAATGGGTTCACGCGGGTTTGGAGAGAGAATATAAAGCACATGAAACGGTGCAAACACAAGCGCACACACAGAACGATTGTGTCGCACACAATTATTAAGAGTTAAGTTTACTCGAGTTACACAGGATAAAAGATGTCTTTATATGTTAAGACGCACGCTAAAATAGTTCTCTTCATAAAAACCTTGATGTAACGTGATAACCCAGAGCTTTCATGTGCGCAATATAACAAAAGGTGCCCCCCTTATCACAGTTGTTGCCTTGCAACCCAGCCTGGCGTCCTCCAAAACATTGCTACGCGCAGATGTAATCTTCTTAGGTGAAAATTACCTGACTGGGGTGAACATGTGGCGGTTGAACACGGGTTTCCTTCTCTTTTTGATTATTTTACTGTGTCCTGAGGACGGCCAGGGTAAAAGTAAGTAAACCTATCTTTTGAAATTTAACTTCAACCAAAACCAAATTTGCATCAAATCTGCACGCGTGTGTGTGTGTGTGTAGTAAAATGAACTGTGTTTCTCCAACATTATACCCGATTAACAATAGGCCTAAGTGGTGTAAAACGGCGATGATCCGCCACTGAGCAGTTTACATGTAATATGATGGTTTATAAATTAGCTGATGGCTTAATCTGTTAGCCACCGCATGATTATATAAATTTTTGAAAGCAATGTTCTGATTTATTGTGTTTAAACAGATAAAATCCCACTCCCGACCCTTCTTATGAAAATATACCCACAGTGCTTGAAAACATCCTTCAAGATTAACCATAACACTCTCCTAGAATGCCATTGCATAATCTTCATTACCAAGTCTTCTGACTCATTGTAGAAATTAAGGAAAAAGCAAATATATTTTTGGGAACTGTTCCCTGCCTTTAGACAGTGTTCAGAATCGAATGATAACTTGTGACGTAAACACTTTCGTTTTGATACGGTTAACCCCTGATGGAAAAGTACGTAGTGTAGTGCAATAAATGGCTTGTAAACAGGTCCAACATATGCCAGACCGGTGCTAACTAATGACGTCGATGTAAATTAATGAGAGACTTGCACTAGCGCGACCTGTTTGGAATCCATCTCACACTTTGTGTCGCCTGTCTTATACACCAAGGTTTCATAACATTAAATCATGTTTCAGAAAACTATACCCGACGAAGGTGTTTGTTGGATGTTGACATCCTGGGCGGGTATTAACTCTTAGAGCTCTATGAATAGGCGTTCATTTTCGCAAAGTTATAATGGAAACAATTAAAATGTCTTTTCTAGCATCAACTGCTTTAACTTGGGTATAGATATGGCTAAATATGAAGACAAATGAAGTGCCTGACTTCATAAAAAAGGGGGGAGAGTCACTAAATTCCCCAGAAGGGTCACTCAGACCACCATTTATAATTAATAAGTCACAAGCCGTTGAAGGGAGTGGAACCGCTATTCAAGACTCCTGCTAGGGCAACCAGTCCCACTCTCAAGACACAGAACAGCTTGCATGACATTGGCAACCTGTCACAGACGCTGAACACGTAAAGAATTGTCATCAATTCCCTTTACTGACTTCAGATTTACAGCCAGAACAGCAATGGCAGAAATCGCGAGTCCAGACGCGTGCGCTCTTAAGCAAGGGTAAAGGTGATATGTGAATGGTATGTGGTGGGCTATCATTACACAAACACAGTCCTTTTCACATAAATAATGGCAATCTCACCGGATTTTACTACTGGGACAAAATCCTGTTCTAGCTGGTATTGCCATTCCTCCGTACAGGATAGGTCATAGAGCCTTTGTACAAGTTGACAAAGCATGTCCTCATAGCACCCAACCAGGCACATGGTTAGATTTTATATAAATCCCATTAAACGGCGGTAAACTCAATAACAATCATGCTGTATATTTTTACAGGCAACGGAGAAATTCGCCTTCAAGATGGAGACACGCAGTACCAAGGCCGTGTGGAGATCTACCATAGCGGGGAGTGGCGGAGGGTGTGTGAGGAGGGGTGGGGACTTAACGAAGCCAAAGTTGCGTGCAAGCAGCTAGGTAATGAGGACGCCCACGTTGGTAAGTATCACGTGTCTTGAAAAATCAGTTTATCTTTTCACTTGGAGACACCCCTAATGCCAGGGAACAATCAGTGGTGAGACAATTCCGCTCTACTTCCATGGGTAATTTGGAAAAATGCCCTTGCAGAAAATAAAACCAGAGATGTGATTACAATACTTGTACACTGCAGGCATATGGCAGATCTTAACGGAATGGCAGGTCATACGTATTCACCGAAAGACAGTCTGATAATGTTTGTGTCAAATTACCATAAAGATCTTAAAAAAGTAGATAAGACTCCACATTAAATTTGGAACGTTTTCTTACAAATCATTTTTCATTACTTTTTCCCTATTTTGTTGACTGATAGCTGAAAATAAGGTTTAAAATCGCGTTTTTTGTTTTGATAACTTTTTATAATCTCTTTGATGTCATGGTGACACCACTTCCTTCATTGAATTCGCCAACTAAGCAAACAAAAATAATTGCTGATTTTAAGCCATGCGAAAACATCCTCACAAAGGACCCTCAAGTAAGTGTCGGGTCACAGCAAAGGCCGCCGGTTCACTTGGCCTCATCTGGTTGCTACCGGCAAGTCAGTCCTTGGGATAGGTTTTAGGGGTGATCCAGGCTTCATCATGACAGCACGCTTGCACATAGTTCGCATGTGGTGACTGAAATGTTGCAGTAGGCCATTGTTCTGATGCTGGAGAAACCATCTTTGAATCCAGATTATAACCCTACTGAACACCCGTGTCATGAATTGAAGTGTGCAATTCAAAGAAGAGCCAAACCTTCAAATAGTCCGGACCAATTCCGCCAAGCTTTTTAGGAAATATGTGGAAATTTCCCACAAAACAGAATTTTTACCCTTGTTGAAGGCAATGGCGCCGTCTACAGGAGATAATTACAGTACGCGGTTATCACACACGCTAATAGACACGTGACTTTTAACGCGCACACCCTAATGCTAAATGTTTGTAAGTTAATTTGGTGACACTTGGTGGTGTCAATTCAGTTTAATGGGCATTTCTTTACCTCCATGGAAATGACAGTGGAACATCGGATTTGAGGGGGTACATGTAATAATTGTGAATAAATGGTATTTAATATGGATATCTTAACCGCTAGTTTGCCTTTTTCTGTACCACTAATCATGTTAGTTATAGTATATGGAATGAAAATCACTAGTCATAGTAATTAACTACTGTGATGGGATGATTTATAAATAAAAGCACATGGCACTGAAGGTGGGAGAACCTTTTTGACCAATGTTGTATATTATCCAATGTCATTAGCTGAGTGATTGAACGGGTTGAATTGCTGCCCTGCTACTCTATTAACTAAAACCTCTTCGTCCCAATGGGTCAACACTTCAACACGCCGAAACGGCCTTTGAAACAAGCGCGCTTTTGTGTGCGTGGCTAACAGCCCATAACCGACGTCACATTTGTTTGTTTGTTTGCCTACTTTTTTTTTCAAATCCCTGCAAAGGGCCTAGGGCAGAAAACTTGGATATTGCCTCTTTTAAGTAGATCTTCATAGCTGTATCACTATGGTGCAACTAAAAGGACATTGCTGTTTGCGTTGGAAACACTCAAGGACCTCTTTGTACCAGTCGGTTTATCCAGCGGCATCGTGCAAAACAACAGACAAACAACAGTCTGAATAGTTCGTATTGGAAGCCGTTACGCGATCGCGAAACACTTACTATTTGATCAAGTTCTTAATGACACAGCGTTAGTTTTGCATTATTCATTTTTACCTCCGTCAAGGAGGTTATGTTTTCATCCCTGTTTGTTTGTCTGTCATCAACATAACTCAAAAAGTTATGGACCGGTTTAGATGAAATTTTCAGGAACTGTCAGAAGTGGATCAAGAAACAGATGATTAGTTTTTGGTGGTGATCCGGATCAATAATCAATAATCAATAATAAAAAATATCGAAAATTTAGGGGTGAAACGGCATTGGATCGAGACTTTCCTGCCTTGGCGGAGGTCTGCGCTCTCCGAGTGCTTTTCTAGTTAACTCATGCTTTCGTGAACTTGACATTTACTATTTCGCTATACATTGTTGATAACCTAATAAATTAATACTTGCTCACTAGAAGGAACCCAAACATTAAAATGTGTCAAAATATACCGTTACTTGAAGTTACAACACGGTATTGAAGGATAATTATAATGAACTGGCTGAATAAATTATGTAGTCTTATTTTTCGTCTTTTATTTTCAACATACATGTTTAATCACTGGCTTTTTTGTATAACCTGATTTCATTCAGCAAGAGTCACCATGGAGGAATTGTGCAAAAGCTTAATAGCTAGGTCGACATATTCATTTTGAATGGGCCATTTGACAGATAGAAACTGAACTATACGTTCTATTTTATTTCCCAACAGCGAAAATCAGCTATAGCCCCCGAGGCACAGGATCCTTTTGGTTGTCCGACCTCAACTGCACCGGCACTGAAGAGGGTCTGTACAACTGTTCTTCCCCAGGGTGGGGCAACGTCAGCTCTGCATGTGACACAGGAGACTACGACGATGCTGGGGTCATCTGCAAAACACGTACGTAAATGTGGATATGTATTTAAAAAACGACACGTTTTTGAGACACCCTTTATACAATTTTTCATTACTGGTAAAGCAAAAGATGGAGGTGGGATCTTGTGGACATGGTGAGAATGGCTGAACCTGGACGTAGCGTAGAGTTAAAATGAGGGCATTCACCTCTGGTGCATTAAAATACAAACAGCAGTAATTTAAAAATAATTCTTTGTCGTACGGGAAACCAATGTAGTTTGAATAAAATAGGTGAAATGTTTGATCTGAGATGAGTTTTGTTCACAGGTCGTGCTGCAGCATTTTGGACAGATTGTAGTCTTTCAGTTTGGTAGGTATATATACAGTAGACTGTTTTCGTAGTCAGGATGTGAAGTTATGAAGGCAAGAACAAGCCTCTCCATTTGACCTTTGCCAAGGATACTGTAGCAGCTCTGCATTTTTTTTCTGATGCCGGCTGCCATATCGCACCTATTTTCAAAAATTATTTCTATGTTTTTAACTCCTCTTTTAGCGTGACCATTCTGTTTCCGATTTCTAGTAGTTCTAATTTTTCTGCATCTTTAGAGAAACGAGAGATGAAATAAACTTCTTCTGTTTTGTCATCATTAAAAACGAGTGAATTGGTATTAAGCCATTGATTCAATTGAATGATATATCTCTAGTTAAATGGTACATCAGATGGCACATCTGATGACCTGTCGCAAACAATATAAATTTGTGAGTTACCTGCATAGAGCATAAGGCTGAAACCGTACCTAAAAACAATAGATAGCTTTCGCACCTGCACGTTTAGGCGACCGACTACATTTAGCTATCCGTAACCGTAAAATGACCAACGTTTATTTTTTCGTGATTTCGCAGAAAGACCCGGTTAGCCTTTACGGATAGTCGAATTGCACAGTGGGCTGAAACATGTTTCACGTGCTGTAAGCAGAGACGTTCAAATAGTTCATATGCCATTGGACAAGTTACATTATTTTAGAATGGTCTTCCATACGCAATTTATGGAGATCAGGTGTAACGAAACTCAGGGTCCGTGTAGCAGAAAGTCCGCCCCCATATAGTTAGATGGTAAGGGTTGGCCTGACCTTAGTGGGACAAAATCTAGGCCGAGGCTCACCTGTACAAGTGAATGGGAAGTGGAACCTCTGTTATAGGGGAATCTCTGTCACGTTACACTGGTCTTCTGGTCAACTGCCATACCTGTTTGTATGGCAATCAGATGAGTCGGTACTTTTAACTAGATCCTCCCACCTTGGAGGACTATTTAGCATGAACTATACGCGTATACATTGTGTGTATGGGAAATTAAAGAGTAGAATGTAAAATGTATACCGCAAGCAAACATTTATTTAATTGAAATCTTGAATTAAAACCAATGTTTTAACAAGATTCAGCCCATGTGTATCTTGTAGGCAGCAAGAGCATGGTATGTCAATTCAGTTTCTCGTCTCCATCATTTGTTTGTCTTTCTCAGTTTGAGCTTCTGGCTCTTTCTTTTCTAATTCAACGCCTTCTTTCTCGAAGGCTTGTCTCTCAGGTAACTGACGTAATCTGCTGATGAATCAGTACGGCGCTTCTTAAGAGGCGGCATGTTGGCCCAATATTCAGCTGAAAAATAAGCGTGTCACCAATTTATGCAGCGTCAGTTTTTGCTACTGATATAATAAATATTAATCAACATTTGCTATTAGAGACAATTACATGTATAGAAAGATGTGCTGTCCTTACTTTTATTTATTATTCATTTATTCAAATACACAAAACAGGACGCCATGTGACTTTCGAAACAAAGCTTCATAAAATTTGCATAAAAAGTCAAGGAGAAATGTCCTGTCAACTAAGGGAAAAAATCAAGCTACTAGTAGTATCTTACTAAACGGCACTTACCTTACGTATATCCTGCGTCTTATGCGTCAACTGCAGACGGCTAGTCTACAGACCACTTATTAAGACATGTGTACTCGTAACAACTGCTCGCAAAATGATGACCTAACAGTCTTATCATACAATCAGTCACGCGTGCGGAAGGCCAGTTCTGACTGCCTTGTGGTCAGTGGAAAATGCCCTTTTTACGGGTAAAATCTATATTTCAATAGTATCAAAAACATAGACACAAATGACAGAGACAAAATGTTTCACGTATATTGCAAAAATGAAATATCCAATAAATTTTTCGGAGAGAAACGATCAATTTTGAAAGGCTTGATTTCATAAAATTATGCTGATTTGTCACACCGTTTTTCATTGACGGATAGTAATCTAGCCGAGGATAATGTTCTCTCTAACCGTATGTGTACACGTCATTAGACAGCAATATATGATGACCTAAACGTAGTCGTCTGCCTAAACGTGCAGGTGCGAAAGCTCTCTAATGTCCTCGATTGGTGGCGTTTAAAGTGAGCGAACAGGATGGGGCCGAGTACAGGGCCCTGTGGTACACCACAAGCTAATGGTGTTGACGGTGATTTCTATGTGCCTATGGAGACTGATTGTTCACGCCCGGTCAGGTATGATTTGAACCATGCCAATGCAATACCATCTATGCCGAAACGATTTTTCAGTCTATTGAACAACATCTCGTGGTTTATGGTGTCAAAGGCTGCAGAGAAATCAGGTTGTAAAAGGACCACTTGTTTCTGATCATGAATTGCCAGAAGAATATCATTATGCACCTTGAGCAGCGCCGTTTCAGTGCAATGTTGTGCTCTATAAGCCGATTGAACTTTTGCAAAAACATGGATGAGTATGCAGATATTCACCTAGCTGTGTCGCTACTAGGCGTTCCAGTACTTTTGATAGAAATGAGAGGTTTGAGATGGGACGGTATTTCTGCGGGTCATTAGAGTCTGGATTGCCTGTGGTCTTTTTATGAGTGGTCAAATTACAGCTTTCTTGAAGCATCCAGAGGCTACACTTATCTGATGTGTTGAAATGTAGTAGTTATTCTATGCATTCCCTTTGTGAGGTAAGTTGGAAGGATGTCCAATTCTGATTATTTTGGCCTAGCGGCGTTTATCAGCTTTTTTATTAGTTTGGGAGTAGTGGTGGTGAATTTTCTGAAAAGGCTTGGAGATGTAGGAGGAAACTGAGTTAACTCAGAGGCATGGTTTTCCCTGTTATTGTGAAATGTTTCATTCAACATCCTTTATGTCATGGAACCTTTTCTTCGAGGACGGGGCATCAACATTCTGTCTTTTCTGGGTGTGGTTCCCCTGGGTTGCCCTTGCCAAGGCAATTTTGCCAATGTATCTGTTTGTTAGTGATGTTGTTTGAAACCGATCAAATGCCTATAGTTTCAAGTAGCATATTGTTTCAAGTAGTATAACTTAGAGAAATACCAAAAGTCATTGTTTAATTTTACCCTAATATCATCGAGGGATCGAGGGATCTATTCAGTTTATCCCTTGGCATGTCGTATAAGAAACTAGTAGAAGTGGTTAACATGTGTTACTGGGAATCCATGCTCCACCGTTGCTCGGTTCGTATACCTTTAAATAAAAATAATCTTAACAATAAATTTTGCTAATTGCCTCAATTTTTTTTCCATCAAGTCTTCTATAGAAATGTCATTTGTATCTTTTTTTTAATCTCCAACTTTTTATATTTATATTTATTTTCTGTGTAAGCAGTGCACCGAAGTAAGAAATGACTCTCAACTTCTAATTCTTTTTTTTATTTTTTGTTTTGCATCCTGGCATATTATTTCATTTAAAGGTGTATTTGTATTCCGTCCAGTTTCTACATGCAAAGGAAAAAAATGTAGCAATGTACATAATTCGGTAGGGTTGACACTTTTGGTAGGGTAGTATACATGCATCATGTTAGTCAAACATAATATAATTATTCGATGCACAGTGATACAATAAAAAAAATAAATATATACTTGACGTTCAATTTAAGAGGGATTTTGTTTATGTTTTCAGCCAGTGACGGTGTCTTGCGTCTTATTAACACATCAAATGCGTACGAGGGCCGCTTGGAAATATTTTTGGCCGGGAGATGGGGGAGGGTTTGTGACTACGGCTGGCGCCTGACTAGCGCTGACGTGGCGTGTAAACAGCTTGGGTTCACCGGAGCCCACACACCAGTAGTAAATACGTCCCCTAGGGGGACAGGTGAGTATATAATTTTTAGACTTACCTGAATTTTAAACTTATTGTTTATTGTTTTATAATGTCGTTTTAAAACAATAGGTATTGACGTGAATATATAACATCCCAGCAGGCATAGTTGAGTTGGATCAACGTTGAAAACAGGTTGATACGTTGAATTGCCGTTGATCTACCTAAATTCAAAGTTAAATCAACGTTGATCCAGCCACGTTGACTCAACGTTGCATTTTGGTGAATGACACAACCTTGCAGTTATGGATTGTAATTTAAAATATTAATTATTGAAAATGTGACACTTTGTTTATCAATACTGCATGTAACTAAATTTATCAAAATAATAACAAAATGGTTTTAAAGTAAAAGTGACAGTTGTTTTGTGTCTTTAGTTAACTAGTGGGTTTTCTTAACTTGTTATTCAGAAATACATTCCAATAAACTGAATTGCTTGCAAGGTCAGCTAACAATAGGATGAATAAGTTGCTGCAAATGTGATGGAGTTAGCAGTTCTTGGTAACCTGTTATAGATAGACAGGTTGAGATGACTGTGAACTTGTGAATATATATATATATATATATATATATATATATATATATATATATCAATCTAGACCTTGGACATTCTAACTTGGAGGACATACATTTATACTCTACATATATTTAGCCATCAACCATGTCCTACTGCTAAACACATCCAGGCAAATTTCTCGCTGGGTGGGGTTGATATAACATTGTTTTCTGACGTTGATACAACCTTGTTATCTGAGGTTGACACAACTTTCAAATCCAACGTTTATTCAATGTCTTTTCAATGTTATGGTTCAACATTGTTTCAAAGTTTTAAAAAGCAACATAATTTGCCCGCTGGGATTGAACACTTTTAACAAATAAAGAATATGTAGGAATGCTAAATTATTTATTAAAGGTAAAATGAAAATAAATTGACATCAACATAATTTTGATATATACCTGTAATCTTTTAAAAATATTGTGACTATAATATCTACCAGTTCTTTAGAACTTGTTTGTGTATCAAAATAATTAACCAAGTGAAAACATGTTGTTATTGTTTGCTATATATTGACACTGTTAATTTACAATGTTGTTGTGAGGCCAAAGCATGCAGAAATGTTGATCAGTTAAGCTGCTTATTAGAGAACATGAAGAGAATAGAGTAAAACAAGACCTTTAATAAGTGGCGAATGTAGCACAGTGATTGCTGATAGTGCAACACCGATTCTTTTACCTACAGACAGAAACATGAAAAAGATTCTGCAAGTTTAGATTATTTCGAAGGGCATTGACACTATGGCGTAAAGTTATATAATGGAACAATTAACGGCTGTTGCTTTTGGTTAATACAGAATATTGTTTTGCAATCCAAAGTCAATGTCTTTTGTTTTTGTAATTATTCTTCTCAATTACCAGGTTTTTTCTGGATACAGAATATAGATTGCCAGGGGTCTGAGACGTCCCTGGCTGATTGTTCCCATGACGGTGTTGGAGAAATAAACTCACGGTTTTGTGTTGAGACTTCCTCAAATGACGCCGGCGTACTGTGCAAGGGACGTGAGTAGACGTCGAAAATGGATCTAGACGCCCCCATTCCCTTGTTTTTCAATCTCAAAACCATAGCTGTGTTAAGATAGAAAGTGTGTTTTTTTAAACAATTCAATTCAGTTTATTAACCTTTAAGCCCTACGGCTCATCAGAATCAAACTAAAATATTAAGATGATTTTTTTTTTACTAAAATGGTATATATATATATATAGTGTTTATTTGTAATGATGTTGTTTCTCTTTGGATTTCTAACAGCCAATGACGGTGAAGTGAGATTGACCGGCGGCAACCAGTATCAAGGTCGAGTTGAGATATTCTACGCAGGTAGCTGGGGAATAGTGTGTAAAGTATATTGGTACACGTATGAAGGACAGGTGCTCTGTAGACAGCTTGGTTTCAGTGGGGCGCTGCAGTCCTGGTCTGATTTTGTCTCGAGGACAGGGCCACGAGTGATGCTAGGTATTGTTTGTAAGGCTTTCAGCATATCCAACTGAGTGGCGCCGGGTACCGGTACTGTCTGTCTGTCTGTCTGTCTGTCTGTCCCTCTTAGTGTTGCTAGGTACTGTTTGTGTGTAAATCTGACTGAGTGGTGATTGGTACTATTTGTGTATGTTTGATTTTAGTGATTGGTTCTGGATATCGTATGATGCTGCCTGCTGTCTCTCCTACTGAGCGGTTCTATGGATATTGCCTGTCCATTTGTTATCTCTGGTCTACTTATAGGTGCGTGCGTGTGTGTGTGACAGCCAGTCAAGGACACATGCCTATGTATTTTAACGGTTTTCTCAACGTAAACTCTATTTATTAGAAATGCTCTGTCAAATGTACGCTCATTTATAATTATAACGTCTACATGTGCATGTGTTTCTAACAACTCATTCCTCCATGAGCTGTCTCCATGTGACTATGTGACTTAAATAAATAATGACAAATAACGGTTTGTATTGTGTAATGTCGATTTCCAGACGAAATATACTGTGACGGTACAGAAAGTCGACTGGATAACTGCTCTCATGGAGTGATAGGTTATCCAAATTCATTTGGTTGCACGGGGGCCTATCCCCACGAGATCAGGGCTTGGTGTGAAGCGCGTGAGTATTCTGCAGTTCACGGGATTGTACTAAGGGAGGGGGGTAAATATGCTTATTAAGAAATACCAAAAATAGGCAGGGAAAAGTATTTAAATATGAAATGTTTTATCTCACCCGTTAAATATAAAGGTTTGAGGAAGGGTGAGAAAAAGCCTTGCCTAAGAAGCTAATCAAGGGTATAGTGTGACTATTGTGCCCTTCCAGGACGAAAATGAGGGTCCATGTAACAGAAAGTCTACCCTCCATTTTATTCAATTTAATTATACAGGTTAGGAGTGGTTAAATCTAGGGCGAGGTTTGCCTTTGCAGATTAATGGGAACCGAACTGTCTATTATTGGGGGCTTTCTGTCACATCACACCGGTTTCTGTATTGTAGTACACACAGCAAACTTGATGTCACTTTCATTACGTAGATACATTAATTTTGTTTTAATGATAATAAAAATAGTTTTATTAAATATAATATACAAAGAAAGAAAGATAATAATAAACAATATAAATAAGGGACACTGAGATTATAGTTATGATAATATTTAATAATAGATATAGCTTTAGCATAATTGGACGTGAAGGGTATATATAGCAGAACGTAGAAAGTTGCCATAGTTTAGGCGTTACAATCTTTCTTGCACGTGCACTACACAGTACATTGTAAGAGTGTCCAAACACAGTTGCAGCGTCTGCAACTGCTCCTACATGCACACTTCAGCTCCACTGGACAAAACACCGTAGCTTCTTGCAAATGTTTCCACAAAGGTGTCCACTGTTCTGCACAATGCCAACCCCAGTCGACAGGAGGTGATATTCATATTATATATGACAATTAACTTAGTACTAGCCGAGATATCTCGACCATGCAAGACTTCTGCTTTAATATGTGCCTGCACGGGTAGAGCAGTCTTAGTGAGAGGAAGAGATGACATCTGTGGTCTTTGTGTGTGAATAAGAGTTTGCAATAAGATCTGCAGCAATATATCCCGATGCATTATAACCACCCTTTCTCGGTAATTTAAACAGTCCAATAAAGGTGCAATTAGCTTGTTACTAAGGTTATTCCATTTCCTAGCAATGGTTGCTAAGCGACGTTTTGATATTTCGGCACTTCCATTTGAAACGCTCAACAAAGTCCAAAGAACATAAATACCAATGTGGTGCTTTTTTCACATTCCGAGTAATTTTGGCAATATATAGCACCAATAGTGTAGACTGATAAGTTTTCCTAACTTTTCTAGCTGACGACGGCCAACTTCGTCTGCTAGACGGTAACGGCTACAACAGCGGCCGCGTGGAGATAAAATTTGCCGGAGAATGGAGGCGTGTTTGTGACGATGGATGGGGAATCAACGACACAGCGGTTGTATGCCGTCAGTTGGGATATAGCGGATATGTTAGAAGTGTAAGAAGTAAGCCAAGTTTTTTTTTTTTTACTGAATAAATAAAAATACAAAGAAAGAGAAAATAAATGTGCTGCGGTGTATGGACTATTTATATACATTTTTTATAGACCAGCTATGTCACTTATTCTAGTCATACATTATATAAGAAAGTAAAAACACTTATTTTTTATAATCAAAAGTAATATTGTTTCAAACCAATTTTCTAAAAATGTAAATATTCAAGACCTCAATCCAAGATGGCAGCAACCGCGTTACAAGTTTCCCAACCTTGAGCTTAAAAGAATTAATGGATAAAATTATACTTCATTTTTGTTTACTGTGTTTTGTAGTATATCTTTATTTAAATGAATACATACAAATCGTGGTTTTATCAGTTGAATGTCTAAAAATATTAAATCATAAATTATTGTCAACAGATACTAGTTTGCACCATATAAAGCATTGCATCCATGAATCAGCATTGAAAAATGACGTGGACATATGAACATAACGGGAGTAAATCTTTTAGGGTCATACCAGTACATGTATCATCATGGAATCTTTCAATAAGGAACATATAAATTCCCCTATAAAGCAAGAAGAGAGAGGACCAAATCTGCGTAACCCATTGCCTAGGGGCTACAGGGCCAACGTTTGGTTCGATTGTCTGGCCAGACGGTAGACCATAGGCTGTTGGAAAACGTCTGTGCTTCAAGAATGGCAAAGAAACCACACTTGACACCTGCTCATAGAGCAAACAGGCTTCAGTGGGCGCGGCGGCATCGTAACCTTACTGTGTAAAATTGAAATCACGTGATGTTTGCTGATGAGTCCTATTTTCTACTCTATCCAACAGATTGAAGAATGAGAGTGCGTAAACTCGTCGGAGAGAGGCTGTTGACTGAAAATATCCAGGAAACGATAGATGGAGGAGGTGGTTCCGTACATGTTTGGGGTGCCATTTGCAGCAACAGGATTTCCCCATTGCTTCCTCTGGATGAAAACCTTTACGCTGCTAGATATAGGGACATTCTCCAACAGAACCTGGGGATATTCGCAAGAGTGATATACAGAGACACTTTAGTTGGCAACATGACAGTGCAACTCCCCATACAGCCCGCTGAATAATCAACTGCATTCGCCAAAACAACATTCAGCTGATGCCGCAAACAACAAAAAGCCCAGATGCAGACCTTATTGAACACATTTGGGGCGAACATGGTAGTGCCATTCAAAGGAGAAACTCTCCCCTACAAATCTATATCAAATGCGAGATGCCCTTAAAGATGAATGGACCAGCTGTATCTCTTTCTTGTTCACTGTATGCTATGCCGTCTGTTGGCCATAATTGAAGCTCGCGGTGGATTGTTTCTCATAAAAAATTGGTTACAGGTGGTTACAGCTAAAGTGGCGAGGAAGAGCTGTTGAATAATTGGGCAATGGTAAATTGTATTTGAACGAAAATGAGTGTTACAATGAGGGCCATGACAAAAATAATGAACACGTGAAGGAAAAGAATGAGCGTCATACTAAGGAAAAGGTCAATGGTAAGAGGAATTTGAATAGAATTTCTCACTACAAGGATAAAGACAGGAATGACAAAAGTGAACAAAATGAAAATAATGAGTGGTTTGATGTTTATGGAGAACTGAAAAGCCTCAATTGGGAGGTACAGAAAGATAGAGTTACCCACCTCTTGAAAAATAAGACATTTTTGATAAGGCATTTTTGTAGTCTGAGAGATTATGTCCTCTTCGTTGTCCTACTTACCCTGTGAAGTGACAAAAAAAAAAAAAAAAAAATTAGACGAGATGCAATCACCCCCTAGCTGCTCGAGGAGACGTGCCATTCAGTCAATCTGATTCAATCTGATTGCATTAAGCGATAGTCAATGTGGGTTTGGATTCATCAACGTTGAACAATATCATCCTAACGCACCCTAAGTCAATTTTGAGGTCCGCGCGGCTGCAGCGGCAAGATGGAGGTAGCGACTCCAATGCTCAACGTATATACATGTATGTATACACATCTACGAAGCCAAGATTGTGTTAGAGGTAAAATCTGTTGAAAGACCTGTGTCGAAGTAAGATAACTAGCAGGTATTAAAACATATTTCGTTACTTCATATACGATTGTCTTTATATTGTGTCAAATTTATATGTCTGTTCAGGTTGGACACCAAAGGGGAGTGGATTCTTTTGGCTGTTCAAAACTGGCTGTCTGGGAACAGAGAGCAACCTTACAGATTGCAGATATGGTAGGGTAGGGGCAATCTACTCTCGGTCATGTGACTCAAACAGTTACAATGACGCTGGCGTATACTGTCAGGGATACTTACGTACGTATGCCTTTCAGACTGCTAGTCTATCTGACTCTGCCTGTTTTGGAATATTTCTTGTCCGTATGGCTCTATATCTGTGTCGTTTGTATTATTATATTCTTTAAGTTTATTATCATTGATATAAATTTAGCATTTTTAGAGTATGAGTCTTATTTTATTTGTAAAATGTACATGTGACGAAAAGATGCTTGATGGGGTGCGACACCTGATTTGGGCTTAAAATATTGTTACACTTTGCAGACAAAAGGTAGAGTCCATAAATGTTGAGATTAGTATAGGTAACGGCGTGGTCCAGAGTTATTGTACATTTGTACGGAAGTGAAATGTTATTAGAGGCTCGAGAAAATGCGTGATGAAAAAGTTCGATATGTAAAAGTGTATATCAAAGCAAATCACTGAAATATACATGTACAATCTATTTTTAATCAGCGGGAGTTATCCCCACAAGTACAACCACACGAACCACAACAACCACTGTGACAGTAAGTCATATTTATCACTTTCATAGTTTGCTTCATTTTTTACGCAGAATAGTTTTAAACTCTGTCTGGAGGATATTGCAACAAATTAACTCCGTTTGAAAAAACAGTCATTTGTTTTTAGAATTTCTATTAAACTGCATCATTAGCGTAATCAAAACACTATTCATCTAAAAACATTTGTTCATAGCTCCAGAAAGTAATTTCAATTAATATAAAAAGACTCTTTGCAGTCAAACGTCATCATTGGCGGGTATTCAATATATTTTACCACGGCTGGTAAAGCACATTTTTGACCAAAACATACATACATACATATATATATATATATATATATATATATATATATATATATATATATATATATATATAATCATTTAATGGACACTAAAATATTTGATATTTCATGTCAGAGCGGACCTACATGCTATTCTTGCTCGGGAACCTCAGGCACTTCGTGTTCCACATCTGTCACATGTTCTTATGGATATGTGTGTCACGTGAGTCTCTCTCTCTTTCTACTTCTCTCTCTTCCCCTCTCTCCTGCACACACACACACACACGCACACACACACACGTTACGAGAACAGCATATGCACATGTATATGCACATATACAGATAATTGTTTGATTACTATGTTAGATAAATGTCATAATGATATGGTCACCGGTGTTTCTTTGCAGACGACGGCCTCGGCGTACGAAAGTTACAATCTCTTCTACAGTTCTTCCACCATTGCCTACAGCTACAGCCGCGGTTGCAGAAGTCAATCACTGTGTACCAGTCAGGAGCTCCAGGGTAATACTTGCACTGGAACTGGGACCAGTAAAGTCTGCAGGCAGTGCTGCACTAGTAACTTCTGTAACAGTGGTACACTGGATACGTCCCAAACCAGCACCAACAACAAAGGGTTCGCTACCGGGAGTGCCTGGTTTAACGTTCTCTGCGTGCTTTTGTTAATTGTCTTTGCCATGAATTAAATACTTAGATCTTAATATTTAAAGACAACATTTATTTTTAGAGCAGTCCTCATTAATTTTTCAGTGTTTCCCTTTTCTACCTTTTCCTGACATTAAAAGTAAACAGTACATGCTTAATTATGATGCCTTAATATAATGACAAATGTTTTAATATTTCAAGAACTTGCTTTTAAACGAAATTGCCGCATCTGACCTCTAGACGCCAGTAAAACAACTTAAACGGTGAATTCCTTTGTGCGATCATGTCAACATTTCATTATAAACTGCGAACCACAAGTCCCCTAACATTTCTGTCCGGCATATTTCGTATATGCAGATAGTTATTGAGGCCGCTATGTTTCCATTTCTGTAGTTGATGGTCAACACAAATACAAACGCGCCACGAATAAAAAAGGCAATTATAGTTTATGAAGCATGGAGACGTTTCCATATAACGAAATTAATAAAATATACACAGTATCCAAAACCATTCACAAAATCACGATTTTAAAACCAGTACTTGATTTTTAAGTTTTTTAATTGTAGACCATTCTTGTAATGAGGATTGATTTAGTGGACTTCAGGTAATATAAAAAATAAGAAATAAAGGTATGCAATGCATTTTAAGGTTTTTACATTATTTGTTTACCAAACAGTATCTTAAAAAGAGACAAGTGCAAACCATTTTTTTTCAATCCGACATCTCCCCCCCCCCCCCAAAAAAAAAAAAAAAAATGTTTATTATTAAAAACGAAGGAGACAATACGGGATGTCAATCCTGAACTTTACTTGTTATGATAAATAAATCACAATATAAAATATACAAAAAATGAAGAATATACTTTGAATAGAATCCCTATGGTTGTTTCTTTTTCTTTTTTACGTAACTAATTGAGAGCCAATTTGGATCATAGAATGTGCTCAATACCCTGGAAGTAACAGCTTGGAAGGAAATCCAAGCTGACTTTTCTACACCATAATGTATAATTGACGCATAGAAGGGTGGGACGATGGGGTCTATGGACATGGCAACTTGACCACTGGCGGTGAGGATACGTTCTGACCAAACATTAGTTTAATGGCAAACATGATCATGTCTTACCATGTGCTTAAAGAAAAAATCATAATCTTCAGAAAAATCAAAGACGTGGATGGTTTAATTAGTTAATGTATACCAATACCATTGCGATTTTACTGCTCTATGCTTTGGCGGCCATTTTTTTCAATAAAAAGCAAAGTACTATAGTATGTAGTCTTACTGCGATCTTGGATCAGGAACTGATTTTAGACAATTGTTAGACTAAGCAGCAAGACTCGTACACACAGTAGACTACAAAATGAACAGAGTGACTAAATATCTTGGATTTCTTTGTCCCAAATGTGCCCTTTAAATATAACATTGATACTGATCGAGCTTTCCACCAACTATGCCCTGATTTCGGGGAGCCTTTTAATGCGCTTGTGTTATATTTCAAGGGCATATTCGGAATAAGGAAAGCCGAGATGTCCTGTATGAAGTTACCCGGTTCACATTTTATTTAACATGAAGCACACTGTGTGCAAAAGACACAAAATTGCAGCATTATCAACGTACTCAGTGTACTCCCGCCTTGAGATTCTCGTTACCTGTCATGTGACAGTCATGTGACAGGCTTTGTGTACGACCACAATATAAACTGCAGCTATTTTCTTACACGATGTGTTATGTATAGGTGAAAATGCTATATGTGAAACGCTCTGCGTCTGACTCAGTATTGTTATGATGTCTTAATATGCGAACCAGTGAAATTACACTATATATACAGCTTTGTTGGATGTCTTAGATTTACCAGTGATAAGTATCATTCGTTTAAATAAAAACTCGTTTAATTTAGTCGGCAAATTCGAAACCAGACGCGATCAAGTTTGTTGCCACATAATTGGCGCAGCATGTGTTACGTTGATATTATTATTATTATTATTATTATTATTATTATTATTATTATTATTATATTTATTTGGAGTTTGGAGTGAGGGCAAGATACTACCTTCGAAGCCAAGGGATTGAGCAGGTTTACAATGTCCTCCTTTGGATTCATAATAGGTGTGCGAATAACCGTGTGGTAAAATATACATTGAACATGCTGCTCTGCCAGTACACAGTGACCCTTGTGGCAAAAATTATATTTACTCTCACTCAAAACCCCTGGCTAAAGGCCTTTATATCCAAGAAGAAAATCACTTCAAAAGCAACTCATGATGCAAAAGCTGCTTACTTGGTGGACAAACTAAGCATGTTAGTAACGCGGGTTTGATTTTCAATCGGCAAACACAGATATTTGTGTAAGTTGATACTGAAAAGGACTTGTGAACCATGTGTTACATATTAACCCAGGTTATATGACATTTAAGGTGACCCGATTAGGACAAGTAAGACGCGAGTCAGAAAATCAACGTTCCTTGACTATTGTCCATAACAAAATTTGACCATTTAATATCTTGAAAGCATACATTCCAGGGTTAAGTGTACCCCAAACTCCAGGTTAATTTGCTTGAAATTCGACCTGTGTGTGCTCATTAGCCCTTAATACTAAAGTCACACACGGCACTAGCTGCGTTGAACATATTTGTTATGAAAATATTTTCTTTTGCTCAACAATAACGTGTGTCCATTAGTGGGGATGTCCAATGTAAATAGTCGTATTTATACTGTATGGAAACTTCAGGTCACAAAAGTAGACCCTCTAACCACTGAATCCTGGCCATAGTGGGAAGAGTGGTGCTAATATACATGCAGTTATAGAATTAACCTACTGGAAGTAAGCCTAGGCCGTTATATGACTGATCTGGAATGTAATGCTACATGTATGAAACGGAATTGTTCTATACACAGATGCCCCGACTGCTGTTGATTATATTCTGTGTACATGACATATACTGCATACAAATATATAAATAAATAAATAAATAAATCATTCCCGCTAAAAGGAACACGGTGTTTCTTTATTGCTGTATTCATGTTCATATTATTTTTTCCTGAGAATAATATATTGAGTAACTGTTGAATTCAAGTCAAACAGAAAAAAAAAAATGAAATTCAATAGACATTCAACTGCCTGCTATCTTATCTAATTACTAAAAGGGGGAAGAAACAAAATAGCTAAAAACGCATCGTTCTGAGAGAGAGAGAGAGAGAGAGAGAGAGAGAGAGTGAGAGTGAACGAAGGGGAGGAAGCTAGCACTTCATTATTTAACATTAAATTTGTCTAAATTAGTTTAAAATTAATGTTTGTGGTTTTACATGTCATACTATCTGTAAACAAGAATGATGCGTATATCTTGCATGGTGATAACAAACTGAGCCTTTTTTTAGCAATCACAGTCTCTATTACGGTAGACAATTATTTCTTTCTGGTGCTTTTAGACGCAGGACCCACGTTCGGTACAATTCACAATGAATACACATGCCACATGTTTTCGTATTACGTCATTTGCCATCTTGCTTTTGCTGATCCGATTTTCTATTTCTCTGAAGATCCCATTTACGCTGTTAACTTAACTGCATAATTCGCGTTTTACTGTATAAATGTTTACATTAATGCGCATTTAGCTTCCTATGAGAAATTCAGACATTTCCCCGCCTGATTCTACATTTTTATAATCCGAAGTGAGTCCACACAGTCAAGGGGGGGGGATAAAGCATTTGCAATTGAAACGGTGCAAACACAAACGCACAAGCAAAACGATTCTATCGCACAAGATCATTAACGGTTAGGTTAAATCGGGTGACGCATTTCAAAAGACGTATTTCCAAGTAATATGCCAACACACACAAATAGATTTGCTAATAAAGGCCTTGATGAAATGTGATAACCCAGATCTGTTCATGCGCAATGCAACAAAAGAGGTTCCCTTCTTTAAACCTTGTTGCCAAGCAACCCAGACAGGCGTCCTCCAAAACATTGTCATGTGTAGGTGCAATCGTCTTAGGTCAAATTTACCTGACTGGGGTGAAAATGTTGCGGTTAAACACGGTGTTCCTCATCTTATTGGTCATTTCACTGTGTCTTAAGGACAGTAAAGGTCAAAGTAAGTAAAACATATTTTTCGCTTTAATCAAAATCAAAACTGCATAACAGATTATAGTTATGGGGACCGTGTTTCTCTTACATTGTAATCAATTAACTTTAAAAAGTGTAAAACGTCTGTGAACGTTTATTGGCAGTTCACATGCGATATGATGATAAACAACTTATCCGATGTTTTAGCCTGTTAGCCACTATAAATATAATTATATAAATGCGCGTGTATGCAATGTTTTAACTTATTTTGTTTAAACACAAATAATCCCTTACCCCACCTCCCTCAAAAATATACCCACAGTGCTTGAATGTATTTTGCCACAGGAATCAGTTATACATCAAGGTCACTCAACGATGTGTCACTCAACAGCCATTCCCTGATGGTGTTTTTAAAGGCATTGACATTATGGACGGGTAGTAACTCTACGAGCTCCATGACTGTTATGGGCTTTTTTACGAAGAAAAGATGATTGCAACTTAGCTTTAGTTCATTATTGTTAACATTAGAACTATTATTGTCCACGAAGCTGTCTTTTGCTAATTTATTTGATTCAGTTTCGAATGCGTATAATTTGCATTTGCCTTTTCCTGAAGCCTCGTTTGCCAATTATCTCGCTCAATATTATATTCCTGAATGCTTTTGTGCTTTTCCCCTGCTGTTCTTTAAATAGCCGCTCATTTTTGCAAAGTTATGTTGGAAACGTTCAAGTTCACTTTTTCGTATAAGTTGGTTTCATTTGGGTGTAAAGGAGAAACATGAAGCCAAATGAGGTCTCTAATTTCATAAATGGGGATAACTCACTGATCACGGGACTACAGATCACAGAGTCATTAGATGATTAAACTCCATTAAAGACAGCAACAACAGAAAGCATTAACATGCCATTGTGTAAATGGAATAGATTTGGACCTTTGGACCATTTTTTTAATCTGCAAAGAGAAAAAATAATTTTGCAATCAAAGACAAAAAGAAATTTAATAAAAGAAACTTAAGGCTCTAACCCAATAGCATGTGCGGCTGACGATTCCGAAATGTAAAAAATAACAAAAAAAGTGAAATTTAAGATCTATAGCTCGGTACTTAAC